GTATAATTAAAACGAATGTAAAGTTAATAAGACTAAATTAAAGAACTGTACTGAAGCTCAGGTATGTCACTTTGATTATACAGCTTTAATCATTATGTAATTAGAAAGGCTGTTATTAATGACTAATCACTTTTGTTCCAAAATCTAAACTTTTATATCACTTCTTTTAGTAAAAACAGTTGCACTTCTACGCAGTGCTCACTCACGATTTCACAGGAGATAAGGTTCAATATATTTTTTTCTTACAGCAAGAACTTTGCCAATAGATCATTTAATTGAAACCTAATTATTTGACCAAAAGTCTGTTTTCTATATCATACAACAATCATATAATAGAATCATCAATATCTATCGATTTCCTGACATTGATTAATTTTACCAGTCATAGTGCCTTTCTAAAACTTCGTGAATCACTTTAGAGACTAGTCACTTGTGAATACAAATATAGTACTGGGATGATTATTTGTAAAAAATGGTGCAGCCAATATTTATGCGTTAAACTTATAAAGTGAACAATCAAAGTTTCATTTAAATCGTTCTTTTTTTGCATAGGATTTCAATCGGACTATAGCATAACTAACAGTAATAACATGACAAATTTAAACTGTCCTGTAATTTTTTCTGGTATTTTCTTTTAAAAGTTCCACATTTTGAACTCCAAAAGTTTTTTTAAAGTAAAAACATAACAAGTAGATAATGGTAAAATATGAAAATGTAAGTGACTTTCTTCAAATTAACATTTATATCATATAATAAATAATGGTTCACACAGTTTATAACCTTTGTCCCGGAAATTAATTGTAGTTTATACTCATAAACTTTCATTTATTAATGCCGATGATGAAATCTTACAATTAATTTTTAGCCATCAATTGTTTTTGACAAATTTAATAGAAGGGTGTCAAGAAAGTATCATTAAAGAATACAGAATGTACCACTATGTTATATTTGGTTTTAACACAATTTCATTCTCAATCTGGCGTTTCTCCATATTTTATTAAAATAATTGAATATACAGAAAAAATTACTTAGGTTAAGGGGCTTGGTTTTAGGTGCGAGGCTGTGAACGAACTTTAATAAAGAGCCTTCTTGTCATAGAATCAAATAAACACACAGTACCTCTTTAATTTTCAATGTTTGTCCAGATCCAATCAACCAGTGGTTTGAATTCATCCAGAGTATTGTTTGTTTCAGCCTTTCTAAGCAAATTCTGGCTCATATGAATACTTCTGAGCGTTTGATAATAAATTTGTATTATTGACCTTGCATCCAATTTTGTAGAACGTAGAAGTCGTAGTGTCATAATGGTAGTATTGTGGTGCTACATACTATTTATGTTTGTCTGCATAACGGGAGACGAGTGTGGTGTATTCTGCTTGTGCTGACAGGTATCAGCAGTATGTAGCACCAGTCGGGAGTAGAATCCTTGGCAGCAGATTATTGAATTGAAGAGAACAGTAAGAACAAAGAGCGGTTGTAATGAAAACATGATTGGAAGATTCATAAAGCGCTTACATGATAACCAAAGGCAGATGTGAAAATGTACGGTTTTCATACTTTATGAAGACATTTTGTAATTTTGCATTGGAAAATTAGTTGATTTTCCTCATATAAGTTCTCATTTGCTACAGTACTAGATATTAACCTGAACTATACCGCTTTTTCTTGACAGTTTGTTTGAACGCTAATTAGTAATCATAAAGACCACATTGATACTAATTCAAGATCAAGAATTTTGTTGCATGAATCCTTTAAAATGAATCTTCTAGGAATATGAGAAACAATTAATCATTTTATAATCTTGTTATCTTTTTTTCCAAAAAAATGACAAACAATTCATAATGATAAACTGAATTTAAATAAAATTATATCTTTATTTCATTGAAAATTATTTTAAGATCGACATGTTTATTTTACTTCTGCATGATCAACATGTAAATCACATTGAATACGTCTCTTAGTTTAATTGATATTTATGTTGTTTATATGAGAATATTTTTTACTGTTTCACTATCTTTCAGAAAATAATGATTGACAGAATTTTATGATAAAATTGTCTGGCTTATTTTTTTCTCTTTCATTGCTATATTTTTTGAAAAAAAATTTATTTCATGTTTAGAAGTTTAATTTACTAATTGTAAAAAAATAATGGATAGTTGCTAGCAGTGGAATCCAGGACACGCGTTTCGTCCTGTTTAGGACTCTTCAGCTGGATGCACATGCATCTCAGAGCTGACGTTCACTCCGGGACTCGAACCCAGTACCGTTTGCTTCAGATGCCATCCCGTTATCCACTTAGCTACTGAGTCTTGATAGCCTCTTGCTTGTACAATCGGGTGAAGTTTAATTCACTGATATTGTTTTACATTAACATTCGACAATGATAAGCATTATGTCTTTCTAATAATAATTATATATATATATATATACACTTAATACTATTCACTCGATTCGCTGATTCACTCGTTCGCCTTTCCGCTTTGTGGTCTTAGCTATCTGCTAATAAAACTGTAGTTGCTGCTTTTTTTTGCCTTCTGATTTCAAACACCGTTGAGGTGTATGTAATAACGGTTATGAGGGTGATTGGTTAATGAAGCACAGCTACTACAATATAAATAATGGCCTAATTAATTAAGCGAATTTCTAGATTCATGCACATAATGTAGAGCAAGTAATTTATAATTTGAAATTATAATTCAGTAAAACTAATAGTAGAAAAATAGATGCGGTATTCAGTATAAAATAATAAAATCCGGGAAAATAGTATCTCCTTGAAGTAATAATTGGTAGACTCGGTCGTATGCACTCAGTATTAGTAATAAGTAAAAAGAATGTTTTTGATTGAGATCATGAACTGATCATTGTTAGACCACCATTGAAAATCTGGAATCATTGGACGGCCGTTTCGTCATAGTATGGGACTTATCAGCAGTGTGTATACACAATCCCGCACACGGGATTCGGACCCAGGGCCTTCGGTCTCACTCGCGCTGTTAATGTCTAAGTTTAGTCAATCGTGAATTATTCCCATGCTGTTAAAAAGAATGTCTGTAACAAAATATTTGTATAATATTTAATGACTTTTAGTTGAAAAGAGTAAGAACAAAGATCCTAGCAAACTAGTATGAATTCATTTTACTTCGTTGGTTCTCGTCAGCTGCTTACAACATGAAAGAGTTTAGTCGGCAGTTCAGGCAAAGATATATTAGTATAGTAAGGGCGTAAGTAAATTTAATAGACTGGATATTATAAATATATACCTTACTTAAAAGAAAATCCTACAACATTGATTGTGACAACAGTTCAAACGGCCAGAAGCAAGTAATCACAAAATAAGTAAACGCTGATAGGAATAAAATGAATAAAGCTCAGTTAGTAAAATAAGATTACTGATCTGGAAGATTGTTGAAATAAAAACTCAGAGAAGTAATGAATGCAAGAAAGATCTTTTTTAAAAGTTTAAGGTGCAACGAATGAATATTTGTCATCAAGACAAGGAAAGATCAATAACCATCTCCCTTCGAACACATAAATCAGGTTTTTGACTCCTGATAGCAACAGTTTCAGCAAATTTCAGAAGACTAAAGTTTGGCTCTTTACTAATCACTATGAAAGATTGCAAGATACACCCTTGCAATACTAATATGTCTTTAACATAACTTCCGATTAAACTCTTTCATGTTGTAAGCAGCTGACAAGATCAATCAAAATAAAATGGATTCATAGTATCCTGCTAGGATCTTTGTTCTTGCTCTTTTCAAAATGATGAAGCGAACTATGTGTATCAAATTTATCAATAGAATTTTAATTGGTTTCCTTTCAATAAGCAATTGATCCGTTTTGTTTCTCAAAGTTCTTTCATAGACTAGACCCACAATTCTAAATAAAATTGAATTCATTATAGTCTTCAGGTTATGTGCTGATGCACAGATTTCGAATACAGTAATGTACAATTGTTATCATATGAGTCAATAACTGTTTCATTTTTTTATGTAGTTTATGCTCCACAAATATTATTATTCAATTACTGTTTCTATAAATCTATTTCGCATAAAGTTTACTGTTGATTTCAACTTATGATAAAAATTATTTTCGAATATTTATTTGATTACACGAACATTTCATAAAAATAAACGGTATTAGTGAATTTAATAACTCATTATAATTAAATACACTTGAATACAATGTACAACTAAACAACAACAAACGACTGGAAAGTACTAAACATTTGTATGAAAAAAATTGTAATTCGACTTTATTTATTACATCAAATACATACAGAACTTTATTACAAAAAAATTAATTCATTTTCGTACTTTATATTTCTAACCTAGTTACTCTGTTAGGGTTTGAATCAAATCAGCTTACATATCTGTTTACAATCCTAACAATCGGCTAGTTAATCATGTTTTTTTACTGAGGTTTATTTAGTTCATAGATCGCATCTATTTTGATCAAAGTATATTATATTCTTAGTGAGATCATAAACTGATCTTAGTTATAAAACCAATGAAAATCTAGAATCATTAGATGGCCGTATCGCACTAGTATGGAGCTACTGTGCCATGTGCATCCACAACCTCACAACGGAGAATAGAACATAGAACGTTCAGGCTTGAATGGGAACGCTAAACCTCTAAACCCAGTGTTGCATAAGTTCAACTTTAATCAATCCACTATATTTCATGACTGTCTTTTATTGTCTTCGATAGTTAACTTCTTTACAACAAACAAAATTGAACTCCGCTGTTTAAAACTTCTTACTAGAACCCTATATTCTTTGGAAAAAAAAACTTATTAATCATACATATTTATTTCATAGATTTTAAAGAAAGTTTCATTGTTGATGATAAGTAATATTCGTTTTTATGTTACTCAAAGAATGATGAGAAAGAACTGATTAATTATTGATTTAATTATTAACTTAAAACGTTGTCATACGTTACCCAATTTATAATTTCATTTTTATTCTAATTTTATGATGAAAAATAAAATTTTAGAGGTCAATCACCTGCTGAAGCAGATTACAATTTATTGGATACTGTAAGAAAAATTGAACTCTATGGGATAAGAGTAAATCCAGCTAAAGTAAGTTAATCTTTTCTCTAAATTAATTATGTATTTTGTTTTGTTTTTATGGATGTTTGTACAAGTATATGTTGTACATAATGGATACCTTTATTTGTAGTAGATATCAAAATAAACTAATGAGAGGGAAGCAAAACTGCCAAGTTATATCAGAGAGATATTTTGTGTATACTATAGCAACGCCTATGATGAATTTCGATTATGGGTAATTTTTGTCAATCCCTCTTACTCACTTATTTAACAGACAATGTCATTGGATAGTAACAAGTCGTATATTTCTATATTATTATGATCACTATCATGTCTGTATAAAAGTGTATGCACGATCACATGTGACAACCTACTCGCATATATCTATCTAGCTAAAATGTTAATCGTCTAAATATCGATTGACGAATCATTCTCTTTCCCATATATATGTACTCGAATCCTATTACTAGCCTTTGCCTTGCCTTGCTGCGCTTTGATTCGATTTAACTAAAAATTCGCCTCTGTATTTGCTCACACACATATTATTAGCCTCTGCTTCGATTCGCTAGATATGTTTGGAACTTTGTTATCTGTGCTATCCGCTAATAAACTGAAGTCGCAGATTCTTATTGCCTTCTGAATTCAAACGCGGTTGGAATTTATATAACAACGGTTATCAAGGTGATTGGTTACTTAAGCTAAGCCACTACAATATGTTTGTTCGATTAAATAAACTTGATCTTCGTGGTTATTTATAAGTTTAATTCTATAACTAAAGAATTTTTATTATTTTAACAAAATTGTAAATAACTGGATTTTCTTTTATGGTAATTGACCGGTGATTATGATATTTAACAAGTTTCTATTTCGAATTCTTTGAAATGCTGTATGTAATTTATTTATATTTTATAGATGATTGGTTATTATACCATTGATCATAGAGATATAAAAACTTATACAATATTATGCGATTTACATATGTGATTATTCCAGAATAAAACTGATTAATTACTATTATCTTAAATATTTTGCTTCCTTTGTGTATTAATTTGTTTTATATTCAGCCAGAAAGAAATATAAGAACAAATGTAAGTAGGCAAAAGAATATTCCATAAAAAAATAATTTGTGAGAACTGGCTTAAATATATTAAATAATCCTGATCAGTAAACTCCTTGAGGGCTCACTAATTTTTTCAAAGTTTTTTCCGATATGTCCAATTAACTTGTTTGTTAAATAACACTTTCTTATACTAATCAAATACAATGAATATATATAAAGAGGAAGAATGTATTTGTAAAATCTCAGCGAATGAATTTTGAAGTAAATCATGAAGAACAAATGTAGAGCCACTTTAAATAAGTTGAAAGCTGAAACGGCCAAAATGCTACAGAAGTTAAACTCCAAACTAGTGCCATCTTTATGATTTTATTTATATCCGAAAATACATAAAACAGATATTCCACTAAGACCTGTGGCTGATTATATAAATTCACCAACCTATGATCTTTCTAGATACCTGGCCTAAATTCTTAAAGCATATGAAAGCGTAATCAAATATGGAATAAAAAATCATAATGATTTCAAAAATATTATCAATGATATCCGCATAGAAGAGGACGAAATAATGGCAAGTTTTGACGTTTGCTCATTGTTCACTAATGTTACTGTTAATAAAGCTTTAGATATTGTATATAACTTCTTAGATTTTGACACTGAACTTAAAAACCTCGTCCTCTAGATTTTCGAGACATTATCAAAGCGTTGGATCTATGTTTACATTCAACTGTTTTCAGTTTTCGAGGAGATTTGAACAGAAAAACAGGTGTTGCTATGGGATCACCGGTTTCTCCAATTATTGCTAACTTATTCATGCATTCATTCGAAACAAGTGCGCTATCTCAATGTGTTCCATTCCACCGAAAACTTGGTTAAGATACACAGATGACACTTTTGTCATTATAAAACGAGATTGTTTAGACGAACTATTTAAACGTGTCAACAACATTTATGACAAAATCAAGTTCACTAAGGAGTTGGAATCTCCTGAACACAAATTACCGTTTCTAGACTGTTTAGTTGAAAGAAAGTGTAATGAATGTTTAAAAATTAGTATTTTCCGAAAGCCGACATATTCAGAAAATTTTCTAGACTTTAATTCAGCGCATCCACACCCTACCAAAGTGACAGTAGCCAAAAGGATTTACTTCAAAATTCATTCGCTGGGATTTTACAAATACATTCTTCCTCTTTAATGTCTCACATTAACTCGGCGCCCAAATACTGTGAAACTGTTCGATCAAATTTAGATGAAAGTTCTTATACATACATATCTATCTATCTATCTATCTATCTATATATATATATATTATATATATATACTTAAGTAGATACTTAAAAATATCTAAACATTTTTACAGGCATTGTAAAGAGATGAAATTATTCGGTATCCATTGCAAAAGGCACATATTATTAAGGGCGACTATCAAAAAGGCGCATATTAATAAAAGTGAATATTGAAAGAGAGAATAGAATTTTAATGGTGTGAAATATGTTTGATTTGCTCTCTATAGCTTTGTCGTACGACTAATCAAAGAAGTGGTTTTTTAAACGTCAAATGAGAAGTTTATTTACAACAAATACCGTAATTCTTTGAACTTGGCAACAAATTGTTATTTTTATTATCGTAGTCGCGTCATCTTGTATGTCTATATTGGACTTTTAGTGAACATTCTATACAGAGGGATGTTTAAAAAGTGCTTGCGAAATGTTTGGTGAATTTCACTTTCAATAAGTTTTAACTGCTAAAAACATACCTTTGTTTTAAAATTAAGGTCATATTTGGCATTCCTCATTACATGTATTTTTTAAGCATTGTCCAGTTTGCTCTGGAGAGACTTAATGGAATTTTATTCTGTCGATTGTTGTGATTGTTGTTAAATGACTAGGTTTGATTTGATGTTAATCATATGAACAGTTGGAACTTATGAGGTGGACCTCGTACAATTAATATTATTAACATAGTATTATTAATTATATATGCATACATCAGATCATCATTTACTCTAGTTAAAACAGATTTACGTTTGACAGGCAAAAACGTCTAAACATTTTTTTTCAAATTAATTAAATCACAAATCCAAATATATTAAAACAACAATTCATGAATAATCTCGCTGCAGAGTTGGTGGCAGTTCATCTTATCAAACCTGATCTATATGTGCAAAAGCGTTACGTCAAGCTGTCATCATATTGTTGTACCTTTAAGCCCGGTTTAATATCACATGATCTATTCGCCAATCAAAATGCGACTTATCCAATCTTGGTTCTGTGCCAAACCATTGATTTTCGACCGTTCCATCACATTGTTTATTTTAATAATGTCTTCCATAACAGGATAAACTGAACATATTTAACAACTTAAAATGTTATTCTCCCTCTTCAATACTCACCTTTATTGATATGCACCTTTTGATGGTCGCCCTTACTATTGTACGCTCATCTTAGCCTCACACTTGATAGTCACTATTCCTCTCATTTCCTTGTTGGTGTTATCCAACTTCTTTTGTTGTTCATAAAGTCATCATAATTACTATTATACATAACGAATAAAATCTTTTTCATTAATTTTATTTCAAATAATTTAATGCTGACACAATATTTCTTTCTTCTGTTACTACGTCTCTGTGATTTATAATAATGTTAAGCAGTAAAGTTTAAAAATACAACATTTCCTCCAATATTGTGAGACTATTTTTTGTGTGTATAAGTTTACATCTAATTAAATTAAGTATGATTGATATGAGTTGTCGCAAGTTATCATTAGTTGATACATTTTCGTTCACAAAATGAACTGAACCATGTTTTAAAAGTTGATTTTAATTATTGTTCTAATGTACAAGAAACTGTTTTTATAATTCCACAATTTAGTGGATAAAGCACTGACTTTAATGTATTTAATCTGTACGTAAACGGACTTATATTCAACTGTAAGGTTTGTGATTTATTTAAGTCTGATTTAAAATGTATCTCATTTAATGTGATTAGAATATTTAAATTTGAAACCAATAAAATATCCGTAGCTACCTATTTTAGTACAGTAAGCTCACTGCTGGAGGTTGAAAGTTTGACATGAAAGTTATAGTAAAATACTTCAAGGTAACGAACAGCGTACTCAATTTTGTAAAAATGACAAACTTCAAAGTTCTACTTTCTCCTCTCATTACTTGAATTGCCTCGTTTTATCTAGTTTTCAGGTTGATTCCAGTAATTCTTTTCAACTTCCTCTACCACTTATCAACAAAACACTACTTTTGCTGTTTCCAATTGCTTAACGAAAGAAGATTAATTTCTTAAATGATACCACCAAGTGAACTAAGTGAATAATTATCTTATATTGATGCAAAGACTACCTTAAACATATAAGACTAGGTCTATGACATTTTAAATCATTTTTCGAGTGTTTTTAATACATTTTAAAAAAATATGATAACTAGTTTCATCATGATGTAATAAAAAAGAGATAAATTACATAATCTGTTATTCTTATCTTAATTCATATGTTACCCACTAACAAGTTGAATCAACCCAACTTAATTACTCAGTCCTACTTTTTTATTCATTCGATATACTTTTTTGTTTTTTTTAATAAAATTTACTCATAACTTTATAAGCAACATTACAAAGAATGTTCAGATGATAGGTATTATTCAATGAGATCAGTTAGTTTTCAGATTGTAAAGTAAAAGAACATTATCTTGTTCTAGCAGCATGTACGTCATTAAAATCCTGGATCTAAAAGGATTTCACGTTAGCCAACTAATTACAGTTTACTATAGTTATACCAAACCAACTAAATGCTACCATATTCAATGTTCATAAATATGTTTTAAACGTTTTTACAACTCTTTCAACACAAGAGGTTGTTACCATAGGAAACAACAAAGATTAAACAAATATAAATAATACGAAAACTGTTTGTTGTATAACTAACTGCGTAAAATTCAAAAGTGCCGCTTTACTTTGATAGCTGATAAAAGTCTATATATCTTAACTTTACCTAATTACTTTAATTTTGTGAAAGATAAAACTAGATCAGATAATTTTGAATACAGTTATCGTTCTACCCATAAATTCATTTCTATAATTTATCTACATATTAATTGTGATATGTATCTTTATCTACATAACAAATGATTACAAGATTATGTAAATATAGAAATACTTCGTTCACTGTACTTTGGAGTACGCTAAACATCATCTACAAGAGTACTGATTGCAGTATTAAAAAAACTGGATTTTAGAATTAACAAGTTTCACTTAAAACTGAAATGAACAACATTTAAGAAACCAAAATCGTAAAGATGACTGTCTAGTGTTAAATGTATACAACATAAGTTTAAATCATATAACTTACTTACTTAATACCCATGTTACCCCACGTGGAAGAGCATAGACCGCTCACCAGCACTTTTCATCTAAATCTGTCCTGGACAATACTTTTAATTTGTATCTAGTTGCCATTCATTTTTTTATGTCTGCCTCCGATTCCAGACGAAATGCTTTCATTAGTCCTGCTCTTTTGTATTTCCCTTCAGGATCCCTAGTAAGCACTCACCACATGATACAGTTTGGTGATTTGCTCAATGTGTATCTTATCTACTTCCAACGTCTTTTCTTAATTCCCTCTTCACCAGGAAGCTGACTTATTCTCTTCCACAGTAGACTGTTACTGATGGTGTCCAAACATCGGCCGTTTCGTTCTAGTGTGGGACTCCTTGGCAATGTGCATACAAGATCTCGCACTCGGGACTCGAACATTAATCATGTATACATCATAATTATGCTTTGGGAGTGAATTAATTTCATTTTTACTGGGTAGATTTCCGTAGAATAGACCATATGTTAATCAATTAAGCTTTAATAATGTTGGCACTTTCGAAGTACTACAGAGTATTATGTTCACGGCTATGAATTTTATAAAATGGTGATTTTTCTATGTAGCGAAAAGCAATTCATGATAACAGATAATGAAACTCAGGTTTTGAACTTGTTTCCATCCAAAAGCGGTTAAAGTATATATTATTCGCTTGTTAAATTTAATGTTCAAAATATCAAACGTTATAAACAGAATTTACTTAATATTGGCTGTTCTCCAATAGTCAGTTGTTCGTAATTTAATGACTGCCTTTTAGTTTACATTTGTTTTTCTCCGCAAATTCAATTGATAATTTAATTTATTTACTATTTATTCGATAATATTCAAATTAATGAAAATTCCCTACCTATAACTAATATGTTTCGCCTGAAGATATGATCACGTTTTTCTTGATTAACTAAATAGTTTAATATATGCAATGAATATGACTACAACATTATTTTGTTATGAAATAACAACATGATATCTTTTTTCATATTTTATTTCTTACCTAATACTTATTATAACAATGATATTCTCATTCAGTATAACTGGTATAATTTCATCTTGTTATTATAAATATTTAACTATAGTATTACTTTCTTTTATGTTTTATTTTTCTTATTTAAGGATAACAATGGATTAAATGTGAATATAGCTGTAACTCATTCAGGGATATGTGTTTATCAAGGCGGTGTTCGAACTAATCTATTTTCATGGGCAAGAATAAGAAAATTAAGTTTTAAACGTAAAAACTTTTTCATCAAAATACATCCTGAAGGTTATGTGAGTTATAATGTATTGACTTTTTTAATTTATTATATGTTCATTTTTAACTGAACTAATTTTGTGTATATTCATATTAGTGTAGATGTTCGTTAACCACTCTTACATTATTCAATGAACTTTCGATTCTGTTAAGTGAATAACCCCATCTAATAGAGTAGTTTATCAAAAAGTATAGATTATCATAAAATATTGTTGTTAAAAGCTTAAATAAGATTTTTTCGTCTATAAATATCTGTCTTTGAAAAGTTAAGAAATGGAAAACTTGTTAAAATGTAAAAGGAATTAACATTTGTGCATTTTCAATCTGATTACAATGTAATTCATATAACTGTTTATGATGTGAAATGGTTTTTATTGTCACATGTACTTACTCTAAAGAGAATATTTAGTAAACTCTCCAACATATTAATATAAATATTGATGTTAGCAAAGAGCTGTAGATCAGAGAATTGCTTTCGACGTTATTTTGTTTTATAAATTAGCTGGTTTAATTGTGGCTTGATTATAGTACTGGAAAATGTCATCAGTTTATTTCATGTAAAACTGAGTTTTAAATCAGCCACCATATATCACTGCAGTTAAACCATCTAGCTTAGAGAACTCAACAACACCAGAACATGTGATATTCACTAAAATCTAGCAGTCGGCGAGTAATTTCTTCACCTTAAAATTTAGAATTTGTATTTCAACTTTAAAAACATTCAAAGTAATTTCTTTTCTGAAAATAAGTTTCATATTGTCAAGTTCTTGTAGTAAACTAATATAAGTAGAACAAATTTGGGACCAGATATTGATATTCAGTACAGTTTTCACAATAGGTGAGGTTTCATCAGTTTTCTTAGTACATTTGATCGGTCTTAACGTAAATGACGGCAGTTTGACGATGTAGAAAATAGATTTGTAATAATCATATACGTATCATAATCATGAATGGCTTCACCCTGTTGACTATTGACATGATGATTGATAAATACATTTCTAATATAATGTTCATAAATCGACTTAAAAATCTAAAAGCCCATTTTCATATGATTTTTAGGATGCTATCGGATTTTCATTTGGTACACGAAATGAATGCAAAAGCTTTTGGAAACAATGTATTGAGCATCATGCATTTTTTCGTTGTCAAGCTGTTAGAAATGTTGGGCGAAAAAATCGTGTCGTTTCAAAAGGCTCTTCATTTAGGTAGGTTCTTGTTCATTTAAGTGTTACCTTTACATTTGCATATATGATCTTTAATTTGTTGTTGCTCAGTAGTCTGTTATTTTAGTGAACATAAATCCCTAGTTATAATGGGGGAGATTTTCAGCTCATTTGTATATATATATATATATATATATGTCGAATTTCATGTTTATTTAGTCTTTTATTACTGATCGGATTTCATCGACCAAATTGAAGTAGAACTACTAGTTTAAGTTACGCAACATTGCTTTCACAATGTTTTAATGTTAAATAATCTGAGGTATTTGATAGGATGCTGTGGTTTGAGGTTTCATGATATTTAACACTCACTAATAAAATGGTAGCTTATTACTTTAAAACTTTACATTATATTTATTAAATATTACAAGGTCATAAATTATACACATAGGAAATAATTGACACGGGATCATGAGATAAATAAATATTGACTACATTATGTGAAAATTATGTTTGAAATAATCTCAACGATTGAAGTTTAAATAATCTCAACGTTTCGCCCAGCTAACTTGTCTGGACTTCTTCAGGGTAATAATCAAAATCAAGAGCTATATATTTCTTTGATGATTTTGATTTTGATTATTACCCTGAAGAAGTCCAGACAAGTTAGCTGGGCGAAAAGTTGAAATTATTTAAATTTCAATCGTTGAGATTATTTCAAATATAATTTTCACATATAATGACTTCTCTTACTCGGCACCCAAATTCTGTCAAACTATTCGTTCAAATCTTGACGAGTATTCGTATAAAATATTGACAACATTTATTCATTCTATTATAAAATTCCATATCAGAAAATAAGCATTCAGAGTTGTCTGTTAGTGAAGTTTTTTTTCCTACATTTTGAACCATCTAGTCTATCACTTATTGCGTTACAAACTTGAATGGAATTTCGCATTTCTATAAAAATTATTATTTTTAACCCTAATGATCAATTTTACAAATTCCTCCATTGACGTTACCTATTATTTTTTCAATAATAAACAAAACAATAATTTTTCTATTTGATCGTATTCAATGTAAAATGGATATTATTTTATAATTTACTTTCAATTCGTTTTACTTATGAAAAAAGAACAATCCTTTACATGAATCATATTCACATCCATTTATCAGTTAAATATGTTATTTTGCTCATTTTATAATTATTTTTTTACAAAAGTTTCATTTAAAATAAACCCTATTAGTTTCCATAGAATGATTTTTCTTCAAACTGAAACTTTTATTTATTAGTTGGCTTTCAATCCTGTAAGTAGCAAAAATGTATTCAATCATTAAAACTCATTTGAACCAAGAAGATATCGTTTTGTTTTTGGATAATTGAGTGCGTAATTTGTCAAATTTTAGTCATTTTATTATTTTATAAAAATCAAAGATTTCATAGACAAGTCAATTGTTTTATTCACTTGTTATTTTACAGATATATTGGTAGAACACAAAAACAATTAACAGATTTTATTCGGGAAAACTATATAAAAATGCCTAACTTTGAACGGTAAGTTCACTTTTTTCATAGATTGAACATCTTCATGTATAAATAATAGGATTTGTTTTCATTTTATTCATTATTTTTCCATGGATAGCTAAATCTAAAAATTAAAACAATACGTTATATTTTTAATGATTTGTTGGCTAAAATATGTATACTTAAATCATCAGGTTTACATTCCAATTTGCCTTACGTGCTAAATTTTGAGTAAAAAGGTTAATTGGCCAGAAGGAACTCAAGGATTGTGGCTTCAAGAGAAACATACAAAGATATACTCATTAGATGTATCAAAGTTTTGGATATTAAAAAAAAACTGACTGATTTATGTGAAAGTGTAAAATAAGAACATAAGCCCAATAATAAATTACTGTTGTCAAACTTCATACAAAACCACTCAAAAATGAGACGTTTAAACAGTATAGGGTTGTGAAGATTGTTGAGTTTTAATTAAGATCATGAACCAATCATATGGTCTGTAGTGACTAACTTCGAGTGGTAATTCTCAGAGTTATAGTGAGAAGCCACGACCAGTGGAGTCCAACCGTGTTGGTTGTGAGGTAGTTATCCACCCAAGACAAAGAAAGATGGTTGCGCAATATCGTAAATTGATCGGAGTTAGACATTAACACCATTGAATGTCGGATCAGTGGTCTAAAGGTTGAGAGATCTCGCGCAATATCAAAGGTCCTGGGTTCGAATCCAGAATGCGCGATCGTAGATGCGCACTACTGAGGAGTCCCATACTACGGCGAAACGGCCATCCATTGCTTCCAGGTTTTCAATGGTGATCTAGCATTGGTTCATGATTTCGATTAAAGTGTTTTGATTATCGAATACTCAATTTCTATGTGAATATCGTACACAGAATAGATGTTATCTGATTTCAAGTGACTTATGTCTGCATTGGTTTTGTTGGTACATCGGATGTGAAGCATAGATAAGCTTATCTATTTTAACACTAATTGTGTATATCTGAGATGTGAACTTAGTTGCTCTAATATTGCCATAAGGAGTTCACATCATCTTCAAATTAATATGTTAAACTGTTAGGTGTTTGATATAATTAATTACGAGAAATCAGTGTTGATAAGCGACAATCGAATATTCAAGTCTTAAAGACAAATACATGATATATAATTAATTTTTTTCTCATTGTTCTATACGCATAATTCCACAGTGGATACTGATAGTTAAATAATGAAACGGCTAAAAGTTATGTTGATAATAATTTACAATAGTCCTGGAGTTAACATCAACTCTGTGATGCAGATATATCCAGCTGTCAAGTCCCGAAAAACACCAAACGCTCTTGCTAGATTCCTCTGTTAGCCACCAACCATCTCTGCTTATAATTACAACAGTTTTATTTCAGCAAATATATACATATGCCTTTCAACAGATGAGATGATACAATATTATGTTTAAGTTCCCTGTTCTTTGGGAATTTACATATTAATTTATTTATTTGTATGCATAAGATAATTCAATTTATTTATGTGTACATTAATGAAAGACAAAAAAGAAAACAACCCAAATTTTTAATAACTCGATAAAACAGACAAATTATTGAAACTACTTATCATTTGCCTAGATAATTAATTAGTTTGATTTACATAAAGCATTGTATGCATGATCCTATACGTGACTAAACGAATAATCCTAATCCTGATATTGGTGATTACTATTTTTATACTGAAAGACAGGATGGTGAATTTTATCACTTTTCCTTCACTTGCATTATTTTCTATGTGTTTTCCTTTATCCTTTTGTTTTGATATGTTCCATCATTTTGTTCTCTCGCTTTCTCTCTGTCTCTCACTAACATCCATTTTTCTGCTGGAGTCCAATTACTTTAAATAAATATCTTTATTTGTTAATAAAAAAAATACCATTTAATTCTAAATGCTTTAATATTTATTGATAAAATGAAATCACTTACGTTTTCCTTACCACAAACAACATGTATTCATGTGAATGAGAGAGAGAAAATTCTTCTTGACAGATAGGTTGTAATAGTATCAACTCAATAAATACTATACAAATAGTGAAAAACGTTTAGCAATAGAATACTGTAAGACATATTCAAATCTAAGTGAAAATTGTACCAAAATTATCAGTGAATCTAATATGATAAGAAAACACGACCTAAATGCAATACTACTAATCTATCATATTTTAATCACTATAAATTCTATCATTAGATAAATTATATGATCAGTATCAACATAGTATGAAACTATATTGTGCATATTAACTAATATTAACTTTAATTTATTTAAAGCTTTTATTAAGCAAGTGATATGTTAAAAATTTGGTTCGATTTGTAATATTTTACAGTATATTCGATAACTTTTTATTCATGTTGTTATGAATTGCAAATTTTTGTTTGAAATTTTCTGGGTAATTAATATGAACAATTTTTAGTTGTAAATCTGTTAATCTGTAAAAGGATCAAAATTTATAAAAGGAAAAAAAGACTATTTTCAGCAATATCATTTATTGAAGATGAAATCTATAACTTTTTAAACATACACAAAATGTTTTATGAGATTTATTGCGATTGGGTTGAAAAATATGTGAGAATATTAACTGTCAGCAAAATGTTTTGATAATCTAAATGTTAATGTTTAGCAATAGGAATCGCACACGAAATGTATGGGAGATAATTGTCCACTTGATGAAAATGAAGATGGTTAAAAAGAAAAGATAGAAGTTTAAAGTTGTAATAACAAATGAAAAACTTGAATTTTAAGATTTTAGTGCAATCAGAGATTAGATATTATTCTTACTCCTTTCAAATACATTCGTTTGACTGTAATTATGATTCCAAAGAAATTTCAATGGAGTAAAACAACTAGGCTGCTTTTTATAGATTTCAATCAGGTCCCTTGGTTTCCAAATTAGACTTTCACACTCAATCTTCACATTCAGTTTATTAAATTCTGTTGAAGTGTCATAGAGTTTTGCGCTTAGAAAGGACGCTTGTAGTTGAAAGGCAAATAATTGGATGCTGCAGTAAGCAAACAGATTTCTTAGGGGCTTTTTTGAGAAAGGATGAGTGCACTATTATCAACTTTGAATACGCCATAAATTGAAAAATCTTTATTTCCGAGCGATTCCATTTATTCCTGAATTCACCAATGGCTAATTTGTACTATGTATGTGTATAAAATGTCCTATCCGTCTCTGGTAATATTGAATTAACATTGTCTGCATAGTTCAGTGGATATCAGTGATAGAGAAACAGGGACCTCGGTATAATAATTGATCTTAATATACTGGTTTTATGAACAAAAATATCATAAAATAACTTATGCACAATAATAAATAATGATCATTGTATAATTAGTCTTTAAAGAATTACTGTATTCATTAAACAGTTTAATTATTAGCTAATCGTTTCCTTCCTTAACTAGAGAATATTTTAAATAACAATGTTTTAAAGAAAATGATGAATAATAATGTTTATATATTTATAGGGTCAATATTAGGATATAGTTTATTACAATTACCTAAATTTAAGAATGAATTAGGTGAGAAGTTAATCAGTAAAATATTTATAGTAAATAAATAATTCCAATTATAATTTGACCCATATATTCAATTGTTAATAGCAATTATTTGTCACCTTCTCTAAAATATAAAAATTTTCATTACAAGACAATAAATTAAAATTCTTATTATTACCCTCCCCCTCAAAAAAGGATTTAGAATTATTCTTACAGTTATCCAAATAATAATTTATCTGTCTTGTTTCATTCAGAGAAGATTTTATTGTTCTTGTTAAATTATTTCAAAATAATATCAATATTAAACTTCTGATTGACTATTTCGTTCTTTTTCGTGTAAACTACTTGTGAAATCTGTTAAAATAAAGCAGTTTTAGGTATCATTTCAACCGTTAACTGATTTTACCCTTAAAATATTTAAATGTTATTAAAGTTACTTATGTATAACTGTATTTGTCTTTGTGTTACAAATTTTTACCCCTTTTCTTGTATTAATCAAAATTGTCTTATAGTAGATACATTTCGATAAGTAGTGATAGTAAACAAAAAGCATTTTCTTTTCCTGACATAAATTAATTAACATTTTATCTGAGTAGAGTGATATGATAATGAAACAATTTGATGCTTTAATGAGAACTATCCCAGGTTATCACCATTGATATACATAGTTATTTGTGTTTTATCATAAATATAACTACCTTTTCAAATAGAAAAAAGAAATTTACATTTTTTTTCAAACGTTCCACACACAAAAAAAATAAACAAACTTGTAATTTCCGCATTTCAATGCTCAATTATCATTCAATGAATAATAAAGATGGAATGACAATCATAAACACTGTATTTAATTTCTATTTATTGATGAATAATGAATTATCATTATTTTCTTATCTAATTTTTTCTCATTTGGTTGATACACATTGATAAATTCATTTTGGTTACCAGGATTTATATTTTGTTTATTTTTCCTTATTTGTTTTTTAATAACCTGATAACTTGAGAAGTTTATTAAATTTTGTCGTTCATATATTAAGTAAATAATAATAAAGAGAAGTAATAGATGCAAGAGATTTCATTATTCTAAACAATTTATTCAAATATGATACTGATTGAATCATTAATATTTGCAGTAGTCTATAGAAATTCCTTATTCTCTCAACTTAACTGATATGTTCTGCCTTTGTGGAATGAAAGGATCTAGTTTTTGCTGGAGTTTTGTTCTCTGAGCTGGATGGTTTGGTCGTGGAGCTTTCATCGTTCTTCCGAACGACATCATCAGCACAAACTTCACATAGAAGTGAAGTGTTTGAATTTCTCCATATGTGTTTCAAAGCTTGTTCTGTGCACCTCGATGTTGATTGGTTCTTATTGACCTTAAAATTGTCATTGTCATCCTACCATATATACAAAGAATATCAGAAACCGCAACAAGACTGCTGAAAACCTTCGGAATAGGTGTAGCACACAAACCGACAAAATCACTACAATCAATCCTATGCAAACCAAAAGATGAAATAACAAAGGAAAACAAATCAAACATCATCTACAAAATAAATTGTGCCAATTGCGAAAAACACTACATTGGACAAAGCGGACGCCCCCTTCACCTGCGCCTACATGAACATCAATTAGCAGTCAAACGGCATGATATCTCCTCACTTATATCAATACACGTGGACAACTGCGGACACTCATTCGATTGGAAAAATGTGGAAATCTTAGACAGAGGAAACTCCAAAAACACCAGAGAATTTTTAGAAGCCTGGCACTCAGGTCAATCAGCAATCAACAAGCATATTGAAATCAATCCAATTTATCAACCAATCAGAAAAATCATGCACAAACATAAGAACAAAAATCAAAACAATGGGAGACACAACCAAAACAAAGAAGTAAACAATGACAAATTTAAGGTCAATAAGAACCAATCGACATCGAGGTGCACAGAACAAGCTTTGAAACACATATGGAGAAATTCAAACACTTCACTTCTATGTGAAGTTTGTGCTGATGATGTCGTTCAGAAGAACGATGAAAGCTCCACGACCAAACCATCCAGCTCAGAGAACAAAACCACCAAAATCATCCACCTGAGCTACAAATATTCTCCACCATCTCGAAAGGATCTAGTGCTACATGAGATGGGTTTCAGCTCGGTCTATAAAATTAAGTGACTAAACATGATAGATAGCAATTTATAATGATTAACATTTTTAACTCGAAATGAAAATTTTACTAGTTTGATGTTCGCTACTTATTGTTTTCACATTTTGTCAGCTATATTAAAATAGACTTTTTAGAGAAATAAATAAAGACCTAAAATTTGAGAAGTCGATAAATTTCATACATGAAAAAGTAGTTTTATTCAATGAACTAACTACATACAAATCAATCACTCACTGTAATTAAAAATAATCTAATAACATCCATTCATTTTATTTGTGAAAATTATATTTGAAATAATCTCAGCGATTGAAATTTAAATGATTCCAACGTTTCATCCAGCAAACTTGTCTGAACTTCTTCAGAGTAATAATCTTGAATAAATCTATTTGCTGCTTTATTTCACTTCTCAAAAAAGTTAACCCTTCATTAAATCTAGTGTCAAATGATTGCGCATTACACATTTTTATTAGATTTTTTTTATTTCACTGTGTACACAACCTCGTTAAATGTATTCAGAAACAGTCCACTTATCGGTACGTAATGGTAATATGATATAAAAATAGAGAGCAGACATCTATTGTGTTATGCACCAATGAAGATTATGATTGAGAATTAATGTAGAAGGACTAATTGTTCTCACATTTGTAATTGGAAAGACTTGTAGTTGAGTAGGAGGATTTTAACTTTTTTTATGTTCCATCTGTTGAGTGTTTGTTTTTGAGGTTTCCGTTGTCTTGCTTGACAAGTTCATCAGTTTATGAATGAAATAGAAGTGAAATATTTGATTTTTTCCGATAAAAGATTACGCTTTGTTTTGTGAACTGAGAAACTATTGATTGTTTTTCATAATTATGCTGAGAATAGTTATCTTCTTCTTCACTCAAAGATGACTTTATAATTCTTCAGTTTTTCTAATGGTTAACAGATTGAATCTATTTTGATCCCTCTTTTGACTACTGATTATGCTGAATGACAGAATTCTCAGATTTTCTTTATTTTGCATCTATCCAATATTTTAATGTTTATTCAGTCAAATTTTCATTCACAATCTGTCACATGCATTGTGTTAAAAAAGATAAATTACTACTCTTTACAACCAAAATAGTGTTCATTCAAACGAATATGGTGAAATAAGAACATTTTTTCTAATGTAATGTTTCTAGAAGTCCCTTCAACATGTCCTGTATTATTTATTTTCCATGTCTACCTTAGTAATTGTATCTTTTGTATGCAATGATAGTGATTACAGAGTTTGATTGTAATTTCTAGATGTTTTCATGTAGGATAAGCTTACACATTTATTGGTTTTCACCAATGATTTTGAGTCTTAACTTAAATGGTCATTTACACAGTTCAATACTATCAAAGTAAAGCTAATTTGAACAGGTGTTTTATCTCATTTCGACAGCAAAGTGATTCTTTATCAAATTCAGTTACTCAGTGTTAGACTGTTTCTATAAATACACTCGTATAGGCTTACTTCTGACCTTGTTTGTCATTTATAGTTTTACTTTTATTGATTTTCCTGAAGAATTTCAGGTGATTCCAGTTTTCTAAACAAAGCATCGTATTTATTTAGATTTCAATTGTTTAGATTATTTGAAATACAATGTTTACATCTAGTGTTTTCTATACACTTAATACTCCATTACTATCAAACCGTTTTGACAAATATTCATATGAAATTCTTGTAATATCTATTCAAAAGAAAGATATAAATTAAATAAATTTTGAAATCACTTTCTGAAACAAGATAATTAAGCAGATCAGAAATATCAGTCAACTGTTGATGATGACTTTTATTGTTGTTACAAAGGTGAAAATCAAATATGATAATTGTTCAGTGTTTTTTTGGTTGAAATTCTTTTCTTGAATAAACTCAACTTAAAGTAATCTTCATTTAGCTAAATAATTGGGTGGTTTTCTATAATATTCTTCCCGCCCCTCTGAGGCACTTATCACAGAATAAATACTTCATCATCTTTCAGTAGTTATTTAATCAATAATGGTGATAAACTGCCTTGATTCTTTTAATATTTTTAATCCATACAATATTTGATTCAGACATTTTGTGTACAAATATGTATAACTTGAAACCTTTTAAAGAAAACTAAGTGAAAAGGACTCTGATAATTTTTTTCTTAGTATTCTTCAAAATACTAATGCATATAAATAATTTGTGTTCCTCATTTCGTAAGTTTTATCTGCTCCCATGAGAATTCATTTTTGTATTTCATTGCATTATTCGTCTTTCTATCCTTTTCTCTAATATCTATCTAATATTTATCTGTTTGACTATCTATCTTGTCTGACCAAAATACACATATTTATTCTGTAGTGAATATTAGTCAGAAAACTATGTTGTGACACAAATCTTTATTCTAGTTATTTACGTGTTATTTTGCTTTGCTTTGGTTTACCTTTTTCTTTTCTCTCCCTCTCTGCCTTTTTCCTCATTTCTCCTCTTTCTTTCTCTTTCTCTCTCAATTTTCTTCTTTTATTCCAATGATTTAATCCATTATTTCACTAAAAACACATATGTAAGTAACTAGAAAAATACTGTAATAATTGCTTTTCTTTACCGAGCCCATATATGTTTGTCTGTGTTTTGTAACATTTTAATGAAAAACTAAAAATAAATTGGAATTATTTTAGGGAAATTCGGTTTCGTATTTCATACGTTAAAATTTTCAGAATATCTTTGAAATATAAGGTATATGTTCATGTAGATGTTTTTAGAATGAGATTATTATAAATATATCTGCATTTAGCTGAAAAGCATAAATCTTAGCATATTTTTAAATTCTGTTAATTTATGATTTCATGTAAGCATTATTATGCAGTATATTATCTAAATATCCTTTTCTTTATGATATATATACTGATTAATCACTGTATAATAACTGGTATCATGCTTGATTAATCATATGTATAAATCTAATTAGGTTGGTCAAGTTTAAAATTCATCACTGAGCTTAGTGACTATGTTTTAATGTTTGGTGTTTGTTGGCAATCATTAAGAAGTCCTAAACATAGATCTTATACTGATTAACACTCATCAATGCTTTCTTGAAGGAAATTTGATGTTTCCTGTGAAGCTTGAACTGAAAATAAGTTTGTAAATTTTCATTGCTACACACTGATGACAGTTTTCACAATCAAAAGCAAAGAAATCTATTATAACCACATATTAATTTATTCTTGAACATTAGGTATAGTACGAATAAGAGATATGTTAGCTGGTCATATAGGTTGGTACCATTTACTTCCCGAAAATTTTCAGTTCGACAGAATTATGACACAATTAAATAAGGAAAAAAACATCATAAATGTTCAACTTTTCCGGTGACATTTGGTTTTTTTATCAAGCCTCATTCATTAAAATAATAAATCTAGCAAAAAAACTTTATTCGGCAATGATTTGATTAAATTTAAAAAACAGTTTTTAGTCTCTGAATAACAATAAACTGCATCAGTCATGAAAAGCGCTTCGTTTTTTTTAGTATAGAATAGTAAAGAACACTTGTTTTGTAACGTATATTCACCACTTATCGCAGACAGTATAGATAACTCGTACAATTTTAACAAAACCAGCTCATACAACCTAATATACTTTCAGAATCTAAAATTCCCTTCCCCTTTTTTAAATGTGCTTGTATTCCTGTAAGAATACAATTCACAAAATATCAGTAATATATATGAAGTGTTCCCTGGATAAACAAAAATATTTATTTTGATTTGTAATTTTAATTCTTTTTAATCATCAATTCTCATAGATTTGATTTGATTTAACCCTTACTTTCAGTTCATCTTCTACCAGTCGTGTTTTAAACACTGAAACATCAGCAATATTACTAAGTGGTTTAAAATTACAAGATAATGCATTGAGAAATAGTCATGATAATCAAGGCAATCCAACAGTACATTCAGATTTTGGTCCTTCTATACGATCCGATAGAGATGTTGTATTTCACAACCGACCACAGACAGATCCTTCGCACAGACTTCATTTAACAAGTAATCTATTATCATCAGATTTATCTAATGCTGTTGCTATCCCTATTAGTGGTCAATCGAATTCTGTCGGATCTGTTGGATCTTATCGAATACTTCCAGAGAACATTCAAACCTTAAAGCAAAGAAGAAGTGGTTCAGCAGCAGGTCAGATAATTATAGCTGGTATGGATCCACATGCTCATTTATTTTCGACAATAGGAACAGCTAGCTCTGGAACATATACCATAAACAGCTCTGTTTCTGTTGGGACACCTACAGGCTCCGCTAGTCCAACAGGCAGTCCACATCTTGAAGATAAACCAGCTACACCAGTCACTAGCTCCGATTATGCTGCACAAATTGTTTGGCCAAATAAACTCAATCTTCGTCCTTTATCAGTATCAAATTTAGCACTTCCTAGACCTTCATCAGCCCCACAGTCTGGTTGGCGAGCTTCACTGCCTCGACATATAATCCAAAATACATCAGGCATACTAATTGCTCAACCTAATGGTAAGTTTAACTGTGAAGATATATATCGTGTAATCAAATATTTTTCAAATTTAAACTCAGTGTAGTTATAACCATTACTAGTTAATTGTTTTACTTCTATGTTAAAAGCATAGCGACTGAATATAAGAAAAATTTATTGGAAAGAACAAAAATCGTTTTCTGCTCATTGTAACTGACTATTTCATCGTTATTAAATCAAATAATACAAGTAGTTTTAAATGTTTCTTTATTGCAATTCTAGTCTAAAGTGAATGATACGATTAAAATCTTAATAAAATCGACTTAAATACAGATGCAAACGTTTCAATAAAAATTTCCTTTATTAAGTAATTTAAGTAATTTCACACAGAATAGTGAATAGCAAGTTGAGAAATGTTGCATTATCATACAATTTTGTCATTCTCAAATTAAGAATTCTATAGTTGATGAAAAATCATAGACAGATGCCACATCATTTCACAATATGAACTGATAAACGTATATTGAGGTAGCTCAAAGTGTTAATTTATTTTTAACACTTTCTGAACGATGTACATTTGGAAGAAAGACAATTCTCTTTACTGAACAAAATAAATCTTCACTTCTCATCAGTTGTTGAATTGATGTTCATATTTAATAGGTTAACATACTGCCTAATCTCACATTCTCTTAGCATAATGGTTCCTCAGTTTATTCTCATCACATAAATTTTATAATTATCCTGTTAAGATTTATCAGTGTAGGGCTGTAAAGATTGTTGAGTTTAGATTGATATCATGAATGGATCAATGTTAAACCACCATTGAAAACCCGCAAGCACTAGACAGCCGTTCCATTTTAATATGGAACTGATCAGCAGTGCGCATTCGCAATCCCACATCCGGGACTCGGATCCAGGACCTTTAGTCTCACGCTCGAACGCATAAACTCTAGACCACTGAGCCTATATCCAACTCTTTTGATGTCTAAATTCATTATTTAGTTGGATTTTTGAAACAGACTATTTAAACTTTGCGTTATAAAAGCTTAGACTTAAAAGTTTCACTGACCGGTTTTAGTTATATCCCAAGTAACTCAGTAGAACTGATTAGAGATAAGTATTGATAACGTCAATCTATGCTCTTTACTGATTAGAAAATGAATTTTTAACGGAAATATTTGTTTAATTATGCAAATTTTGTCCTCAGTTCTTTAGTAAAAGGAGTAATTTATACTTTAACCATAAAATTGAATCAATGATTAAGCAGCAAACTAACCAATGGAACGAGTGGAAGTCTTGACTTTCAACCGAAACGTCACAGCTTTGAACTACACCACCTTCTTCAGCTTAGGCAACTAAATAGTATTCTTACCTTTAAAATAACCATAAATATAACTCAAAGTTGTCTATACATAACACATGAATGTGTCAATCATTAGGGCTTTCACCTTTCACCGCTTTTTATACTAATAATATTTTATAGAAAGTACATTTATTATGATTCTTGGTTCATCTGAAGTAATTGATTAACATGAAGTTTTGTTTTGAACAATCAGTTTATTCCGTACAAACATCTTCATATTGTCTTATTTACAACCTGAAAAGAAAATACATTGTATTCAATTTAATAATTGTTATCCGTCAAAGTGTTTAATTCCGATATACCGTTCTTAACTGAAATATACTTATCTTTTTTTCAATTTCTCTTCCTAGTAAGAAAAAAATACCAGTTAACATGTCACAAATGTCTATAATACATTATCACATGTGCCAGCTTTATTTTTTCTATAATCCTCTTTCTTTGTCTTATACATACATATTTGCTATAGTTATTATTTACAATTGACAATTGTCTGAGGCAAAAGTTACATAGCATGAATAAATTTCATCTTTTTTTAAAATGATAATTAAATGTAAGGGATTTTTCTTTACAGTAACACCTACTGGTCCAATGAATGTTGCAATTATTGGCACAGATCCAAATGCATCAGTCCATACTTCTCTTTTACTTTCATCTAAAAATCAATTTACACCCAGTCAAATTAATCCGTCTCAGGTAAACAATTTACAAATCGGCACAACAGTAACAATACCAAATGTAGTCATGGCAAATAATACAATTTTGCCTTCCAGTTTAACACCAATAAGAGCTATTTGTATGCCGATGCAACATCAATCTGTTCAACTTGGCCAAATTACATCTAGTAGTGTTAATAATTCTGTACCATCACAATTAAAACTACCGCCTGGTTGTGCAATTCTAACAGGATCTGGTCAAACTTCAAATATTACCGGTCGTATTATTTATGTAGATCGAGCTACCGGACAAGTAAGTGAAAGATAGCTTCAACAGGATAGAATATTTTTAGTTTAAATAAATGTTCACTAGACATTTCAATAAAATGGTGCATTTTCTCTCTTTTATTTTCGTTACATTCAGCACAAATTATCATATTAGTTGATTTAGCTGTTTTACTTTCTAAATCTTTGGTAAATTTAAACAAAGAAATAACAATAAAATTTTCAAAATCAAATGAATTCATTATTCTATTTTTACAATAATTCATTTCAACTCCGAATAGATTGAGCTAGCAAAGTTAATATGGTTGTTCAAAACAGAATTTGAAGTCATAATTATTACTACTGTTTGGGATCCCATTTTAAACATCCATCACAACCTTACTATGTTTTCAACGAAAATACGAAACCATAGGATAGAATGATAAATTCATTATATTTTGAAAATCATTTTGCTCTTAATTCGTTCAACTTATCTGTGTACGCTGTTCAAATCATCTTCTTGAAATAAACTATAATTTTAGCTAAAGAAATTTAAACCATAATCATTTGGCTCACAGGGAAAAAAAGCGGAACTTAACAGATAAATACGACAAATTTCTTTAATTATAAGTAATTGTTAAACATTCTGTGTTCGGAATGCAAAATGAGACTTTGTTTTCAGTGAAATACTGAAATTAAACATGAAAACATTTATTTTTAAGCGGTTAGGTTCTCAATCACCAATGAAACTGAAAAGATATTTGTATGAATTCTACTGATTGTTGTGAAATGACTTGAATGTATCATTCAGTAGTCTGACTAGATTTATTTCAGAGAAATTTAACAAATATATTTCCTTTTTCAATATCTTATATACATGTGGGCTTGAATATTGTGCCTTAAAATGTTATTTCTGATTAGTGATTTTCCGTACATATTATATTTTACATTATCCACTTCTCTGTGGGAAATATTCAGTCCAATAATGCAAGTTTTATTAGTATTACCTCCATTTTATATCGACTTGTTCACCCCTGTAGAATAGTGTGTATTCTGTAATTATTTTCATTATGCACATTATAATTTAGGTTATTTGATTAACAAAAAATCTTTTATCCTATTAGACACATAATGGAAATTTTGGCTACTCAGGTTAATTTTAGTAGCCAGTATTTTTAACATCATTCAAAACACGCAGTTATATTATGTATTGATCATCGATGTGAAATAAGCTGTTGATATTGTTCAAAATTGTTTACTTATTTACTGGAGTCAAGATTTCTAATTGAAATCTCAGACAATAATATTTTAGCTAGTCACAAATACCTGTTATAAACAAAATCCAGGTTCGGTGATTAAAAATTCTCTGAGTAATCAACTTCAAACTGTTGTGACAAATCATGTTCTACAATTTAGACTCACGTTTCACAGTTCTGTACATTCGTCTTAGGATCGTAGTGTACTTAGTTTAATTTCACAAGAGTAGAAGTTTGTTGACTTTGTGCCAACACTAATTACATAATTTGTCTGTCAATATAATCGTTAATTATAACTTTCAAACATGTAAAAAAACAAATCACTTGGCTTGAGACTAGTGCAGATGAATCTTAATTTTAATTGAGATCATGAACCGATCAATGTTAGATCACCGTTGAAAACCAGGAGGTACTGGACGTTCATTTCGTCCTAGTATGGTACTCCTCAGCAGTGTGCATCCACAATCTCACATGTAGGATTCAAACACAGGACCTTCGGTCTCACTCGTGATTGCTTAACCACTAGGCTATGATCTCAATTAAAACTCATCGTCTCCATAAACTTATACTGATAATAATCTTAATTCTTTTTACCCTTAATATCTAATAATTTCTATCATACAAGGTTAAGTGATTATAATTTTATGCATTAAAGAAAAATCTATAAATGCCCTCAGTTGGTTAATAAATGTCATTTCTAAACAAAATAAAATCTTTACATTCATGTAAAAAATATTACACGTTGTTAAGAAGACTACATTTAACTGTTTGTGTTATTCTTGTTCTATTATTTTTCTTTAAATCAATGATTTAATTTTATAAAATGGTTCTTAACTTTAATCTAAAAACTGTTGTTGTGATAGACAACATAATGATTATTTTTCCTCTCGAATCAATTGTTTTTCTTTTTGACAGATTTAAAACTAAACTTAATTAACTTTTATATTACAAAAATATAGGCTCAAATCGTTTAACTTTCGTCATCAAAGCTTGTGTATAGTATTCTTTCTCATCCATTGATTAGTGTGTACACATAAAAAAAAGTCGAAATCATGATCAATCGACATATAAATAACTTGACAGTAACACTTCTGAATGTTATATTATTGAATATTCATAGTTTCTGGATAGAAATTTACTAATCAATAAACAATAAAATACTACTCAAATGTAGTTGCTTTCTGATCAGTTGTAAATACTAATATCGGAGTTCATTTGTTTTATAAATTATATACATTGCTTATTTCTATGCTTATTTAGGTTTCTATTGTAATATGTATAGTTACATAATTTAGTCTTGAAAATGAATCAATTGATTGCAAGCCTTTTTATTGCATTATCATAAACTATTTTATTTGATAATTGAGATAGGTATTGGAAGAGATCTAAACAATAATTTCTAAATTACTTGATTTATCTATATGATAACTATTTTGTTAATTTTTTAAAATACAATCCTTTCGTTTACAAACTGAGCATACTTTATTTGATTGACCAACTGTTAAAATATAAGTAGGTCTGCATATACTAGAAGAGAGATAGAGAAAGTGAATGAGTTGAAATAAGATTCACAAGTTTATTTACATATTATATTTATTCATCTATTTATTTCAGATGCTTTCGATGCATCTACTTGTTATCCAGCATTCCTTCATTCCTTTTTAGCAGTCTTCTTTTTCTTTCCTTTTATTATATAAACCATACTATTTGATCAGCTGTAAACTTTCTCTGGTTGCTCCTGTTTACTTTTTTTCACTTTAAACCAACTAATTCCTGTCAATGTTTATTTTAGTTTGTTGATACGTTGTTGTTAATTTAGTTCAAATTACCTTCTGTTACAACTATTTCTTTTTTTCTTCTATTTTCTCTAACAAAACGTTTTAAACTATTTAAACATTTCTGAGTGTATTACGATGCTTTCCTCACTTGTTTATTACTAAGATTATAGAAAGCACCTTCGGTTACTATTACAATCTTCGCTTTGTGGGTTAACAAATAATGATGCATATTAAGAATTTAAAATGATGCAGAAAATTTACAGCTCATATAGATGCTCTCTATGGTATTACGTCCTCAAAGTTAGATGGTTAAATTTCAGAGCTTTCGATTGTCTTTCTGAATAACATTCATTAGCGCTTAATCTAAGTTAAATCACCTAGATCAGGGTACACAACTCCGTCATAAAAAGATTTTCCGACGGATTTCGATGCATAAAATAGTATCACTTTCAATATTCCTGTTTTCTTCACTTAGTCAAATAATTTCATATCCGATAGTGACTGTGTGACCATCTTTCTTGCTCACTACTGTGTATTCGCTTATGTACGACAACTGTATAAAGAAATGTTGCGAAAACATGTGTATTCACTCGTGCAAATATATATTACGCTATCCAAAGTCTTTGCTTAGACCATGGTACACATCCAGATGTAATCTTTACATATCATGTTTTTATGTTTGTACCTACACGTTAAAAAAATCTTAAGTTGATAAACTTCGTGTCTTTTTGATTATACTTTCCACATTTTTTTACTCATTGACTTATAGATTATTCTATAAATCGACATTTAGTTAACAGACTGGTATTTTATTGAATTTTTGTTGTACGACTACTTCCCTAACACCACCTCTTTCTTTTTCTATCACATACTCACACAGTCGCAAATCTTTTTAAACATTTCTCATTCTTTTGACATTATTAGACAAACAAACTGATGTACGTTCAATATTCCATCATCAATACGAAATCTAGCACGTACAATATGGTTACTTAATTTACTAGATATGATTTGTTTTTGATAGGATAATTATGTCAAATAAAAAGATAACTACTAGACAGTTTTCCCCACTCTATTCTTCTAATGAAATTCTTTATTTAGTTATCAATTTGACTCGACAATATTAAAAAAATTTACATGGACTACAAATTTTCATCATCTATTTTCTTTATCACTATTTTGATAATTAAGTGCAATTGTAGTCAACAATATAATTAAGTTGCCACTGAATAAAACATATTTGTTCAACACTGAAGATCTTAACTCATGTTTATAAGAGATAAACCTTCCATGTTTTTCAACAATCATTAAACCTTGCTGTCTTGTTGGTTGGGATAGAGTATATAAACTTCTTAACTTAATGTTTCAGTCGTTTAACAATTTTACAAACGCGAATCTATAACACTTTAAAGGAAGAAAGGTACTACTGATCTAAATAGTTCAATAGGATTGGTCCTGACTGTAGGGTGCTGAATATAAGTACAACTTGGTCACAGATAGAACATGAATGGTTAACAATGTTAACACATACGTAACATATATATCTATTATAGGCTAACGTACATATAGCTGCTAACGTTTTTAAATCTTGAACTAATGGACTGATTTCTACAAGTTTTTTTTATTTGTACGCATTACATTGATTGAGAAACACGAAATGCGTTTAATTTTTCTCAATATTTTGAACAGTTCATATAATTTTGTTACAAGTGTTACGGTGTTTGTGGAGATTGTTGAAATTCACATTTCACATTACGAATTGATCTTAGTTAGATAACAATCGAAAATCAGGAAGTACTAGACAATGGATTTTTTCCAGTATATGAATCAGCGATACTTATCCCTCCACCTTCATGTCTAGTTCGCAGCCTAACTTAACTAGTATATTCAGAAGGAACGTCTATCTTTAGCACAGCTTCTGTAAAATAAGCTAGGAGCATTTGAAAAGCTTGTGAAAAAAATTCAAGCGATCAAATAACTCATCTACCATGTTACAAAATTTTAAATATGTAAACATCATAGTCATTCTTTTTGAAGACAAACGTAAAGCACCTAATTTCTCTAAGATCTTGTATCATTGTTGATATGATACAAGAAGCTGTTAGCACTTCATTATCATCTTCGTTCTGACATACCTCTACAAATGATAACCTTTAGTAAAAGCTAATCACAGTAGAAAAAGTAATAGTAATAATAACCCTTTATGTTAAATTTACGATGCCTTTTAATTTCAAATCTAAACTAATAAAGGATTGAGGTGAAATAATTTTTAAATGTTGAATGAAAGATAAGTAAAATATCTGTTACTTTTACTTTTCAAGCATTCCTTATGTATGTTAGGACGTCTGAGTGAGCAATCCTGAGGTTAGGTATAGGGTACCTAGTAAAAGTGAGAAATCGATTGATCAAGTGCTAAATCTTTATCAACGGAGGTGGTTGAGACGTGTGTTACTTATGCTAAAACACACCTCACCTGATTCTCGGTTATGTCTGATGTAGGAGTAGGTTAGATAAAGCTAGAGATGGCCATACCGAAATGTGGCATCAAACCATCAAGTCATTGACAGTTGGAATGAGTCAGGTTAACAGGTGTAAACTGTCTGATTGGGTCCATATGATCATTACATGACATGTGACATGACTCAGAATCTTTCGCGATGGAGGATGTGTATTCACTCATTGTTTTTCCCTGGAACCTGAGTCCCGAAATCTCCTCATACCATTATTTATTTTTCTATACGTAATCTTTTTTAATTACTCCTGAAATTGTTACTACTTCTACTACCTAGTGCTTTGTCTTGGAACAATTTTATCTCATTGTGGTAAAGTGGTATGCCAACTGGAATTCAACTATATTACTGAGAAAAGCCAACAAATTAAAAAAACTTCAGATGTAAATTTTTTAAATGTTAAGTTCAGGAGATTTTATCGATGTTATCACGTTGGAAGTAATGATTCTACACCATCATAACCAGTAATATCAACAATTCAGAAAAAGACACTGAACTCAACTTATTTATCTATGATACACTGTTCCATAATATCATGTTACTTTGATTAATTAAACAACTATTTTGTGATTTGAATTTTTGAATTTTAGTCTTATATACCGGTGCTTACAAATGCCTCAGGTAATTTAAATCAAGTGACGTTAGGGAATAATATACCTTTAACCATCAGACAACCACAATTTGCTCAAGTTGCCTCACCCCCAACACATGTAACATCATCACCAACACCACCCCAACAACAGCAAGCTCAACCTAATTTCGCCGGAACTGATGAAACTACATGTAGTCAGTCTGATCAGCCGAGTATAGCACAAATTTCTACTATTCAAAGTAATTCAAGTCCTATACCACCTGATTTGACTAGAAATATTCGTACGATTGGTCGGCGACTTGGACCTCCACCACCAGCACCTGAAGTAAGTGATGTTTTTGGGAGTCATCTATCAAAATTAATCTTTTTTTCTTGTCAATATAATATGGTTGGGCTCAGAAAGTTTGTAAATTCGTTCAATAAGAAATAATAAATTGGAAGTGATGATTGACTATTTGGTTCCCAAAATTCTTGAGATCATTAAAAATCTCTATTATGCAACCAAAAAGTGAATTTAAGATGGTGCTTAGGCTAAATTACAAAATCTACCTGCTCTTAAGATAAAGTGTGTGTTAAAGTGTTTGATGTGGCTCACTGAGTAATCAAAAGTGATCATTGAAGCTAAGTAATGTTCTCTCTTTCTTATTTTAACTCTAAATCTCAACCCCAGGTTTCTTAAGTTTTTAAACAGAAGCTTGCCAGAGCATTGCATTATGGCTGATGTCAGTTTGTGTTGAAAACCCTAGGTTCAGCTGACCTAACCCTTACCCAACTCAAAACTCCCGTTTGACTCTTAATATCTATCCCTTACCTTTTTGAATTATAACTAATGTCAGTTTGTGGTAAAGACTTTATGGGTTAATAACCCTAACACTAGCCAAACTCCTAATATGAATGTGTACATGTTAACTTGTCCTTTATTCTATACTACAAGAGATAATATGACGTATGAGGATTAATTAATCAGATCAAAGCTGTTATTCCACTGTTATTTCGTCGTTTTGCATCGTTAATTGTTTTGTAACTAGGCAGTATTTCTTGACTGACTAATAAGTCAGTCACCCAAGGTCGTCAGTATATTATGCTTTTACTCCATTTTAGCATGTATGATCAACCTGATGATTTTTAAGTATCACAACCAAGCAAACATTGGTTTCTAAGTTATGCACTTGACCTACTCCTCAATTCTACCTCATTTTTATCTGAATGAAGAAATGTAGCTTGTTTTCAAGCCGGTACTACTATTCTTTATAATTATATCGTTTATTCATTCAATAACTGTCCAATGACATTCTTATTACAAATTATAACATTTTAATAAAAAAATAACTTAATTCAACTATATTTTAATTTATTCTAATTACTTTGATATGCATCATTTATTCTTAACTGGTAAATCTTAATTTTTTCTATTTTTAATTTCATCGGTTAATTAAATAAAGAGACTGCGCATACGTATATGTATGATAAAATTTTAATCTTATCCACTACAAATATATTCTTTAATGCTACAACAGCGCATAATATAATAAGACGAGTTGGAATAAATACAACATCTGGTTTAAATCGTCCACATTAATGTATTTCTTTTACCAGTTAATCAAGAGGATAACTCAAGTTGTTTTAGTTCCGATCACAAATCAGTGCCCCCAAGTGCCCTGGTACGGCCGTGGGTACGGAGAGTCCACTCTCCTTCTCAAAGTACTCTCACATGACCACGTGTGTTCAGCCACTGTCAGTGATTTACTACTCACTGTTTTCTCGTGGCGGGGATGTTGTTTACGAAATCGAGAGGACAAAAAGCGAATGTCCGGCACTTTAACCGGGTTGGTGGATATGGAGGATCCATCTACGGCAGTTAGAAAACTCTGATTCCAAATCATGGTGCACATAGGCTCCAGGATCCTAAGGGAACGGACGGTGGATGAACCTATTGTCCGTCACCGGCTACCGTAGGACTGCATCTTCTAAGGTTGCTCCACTGCCTTGTGGATTAGATGTTTAGGTCAAAGGCTCGAGGTGTGGCCCCCTAAGAAAACCACCTGTATCGGTTTGAGCACCCGGTCACTATCACAGCTCTCATACAAATCAATGATAACTGCTACTGATCTCATTGTTATCGTGTGATGCAAGTGTATTTAGTGCACTTTTTTACCAATGTTTGTGTGTTCAAATAAATAAATCGATGTTTATTGACTTACCAAAGAACAAACCTCGTAGCAGAATAACATGAATTCATGTATTTCATGGTTTCTCCTCATCCGCTTACGCTTACTTACTTACTTACGCCTGTTACTCCCAATGGAGCATAAGCCGCCGACTAGCATTCTTCAACCCACTCTATCCTGGGCCTTCCTTTTTAATTCCATCCAATTCTTGTTCATTTTTCTCATGTCTATCTCCATTACCGATCCGCCCCTTCACATCTGCATCAGATCCACCCTGTTCATCAATGATGCTGCCCAAATATGTAAAGGTTTTTACATCTTCCAAATCTTCTCCGTCAATTGTGATTGGATTGGTGCATGCTGTGTTGTATCGGAGAATCTTGCTTTTCCCTTTGTGTATATTGAGACCTACTGCTGCTGAGGCTGCTGCCACACTGGTCGTTTTCTCCTGCATTTGTTGTTGCGTTTGGGATAGAAGGGCCAGATCATCTGCGAAGTCTAGATCGTCCAACTGCATCCTAGATGTCCATTGTATCCCGCTTCCCTTCAGATGTTGACGTCTTCATGATCCAGTCGATCACCAGGAGAAAGAGAAAGGGTGAGAGTAAGCAACCTTGCCTGACACCGGTCTTTACTTCGAACGACTCTGTCAACTGTCCTCCATGCAAATTTTGCAGTTTAATCCATCATATGAGTTCTGTATGATATTGACTATCTTCTGAGGCACGCCGTAGTGTCGAAGAAGTTTCCATAGTGTTGTTCTGTCCACGCTATCAAATGCCTTTTCGTAGTCAATGAAGTTGATGTAGAGTGATGAATTCCATTCAATTGATTGTTCCACAATGATCCGTAGAGTTGCGATTTGGTCTGTACACGATCTATCCTTACGGAATCCTGCCTGTTGGTCACGAAGTTGGGCGTCTACGCAGTCCTTCATCCTGTTTAACAATACCCTGTTGAAGACTTTTCCCGGTATTGAGAGAAGAGTGATGCCCCTGTAGTTATCACACTTGCTGAGATCGCCTTTCTTCGGTATTTTGATCAGAAGTCCTTCTTTCCAGTCTGTTGGTACTTGTTCCTCATCCCAAATCTTATTGAAGAGAATGTGGAGTATCCTTGCAGTTGCCGCTACGTCTGCTTTTAGTGCCTCTGCTGGATGTTGTCCGGTCCTGCTGCTTTGCCACTCTTGATTTGTCTGATGGCCATGCTGATTTCTTCAATTGTTGGTGGGCCAACATTGATTGGGAGGTCCGTGGGTGCTGCTTCGATGTTGGGTGGGTTCAGTGGAGCTGGTCGATTCAAGAGTTCTTTGAAGTGTTCTACCCACCTGTTTTGTTGCTCTTCAATGTTGGTGATTACCTCGCCTTCCTTGCTTTTCACTGGTCGTTCTGGTTTGCGGCGATTTCCAGAGAGTTTCTTTGTCGTGTCATACAGTTGTCTCATGTTTCCTTCTCTTGCAGCCTTTTCCGCCGTCGTTGCTAAATCTTCCACATATTTACGTTTGTCGGTTCTGATGCTCCTCTTCACTTGTTTGTTTACTTCTGTGTATTCAGCTTGTGCCTTGGCTTTTTCTGCTCTTGTTCGACTGGTATTGATTGCTGCCTTCTTGTTCCTCTTTCTTGAATCTTATCCAGTGTATCAACAGTGATCCATTCCTTGTGATGGTGCTTCTTGTGACCCAGGACCTCATGACATGTTGAAGTGATTGCCTCTTTGATCCCCTTCCAGTTGCTCTCCACAGTAGTTCCTTCTCCATTGAGTAGATCATGAAAGGCCTGGAACTTGTTGCTGAGGACTATCTTGAATTTGTTGAGTTTGTTAGTATCCTGAAGAAAGGCCGTATTGAACTTTTGTGATATTGTCCGCCCCGTTGTCCAGTGCTTCTTGAGTTTCAATTTCATCTTGGCGACCAGCAAGTGATGATCTGATGCTATATCAGCTCCTCTCTTGGTTCTCACGTCCTCTATAGTCCTCCTGAACGTTTTGTTGATGCAAATATGGTCGATTTGGTTTTGTGTGGTGTGATCCGGTGAAGTCCATGTGGTTTTGTGTATGCGTTTATGTGGGAATATGGTGCCGCCTATGACCAGTTTATTGAAGGCACATAGATTTGCAAATCTCTCACCATTTTCGTTTCTTTCTCCCAGTCCGTGTCGTCCCATGATGTCTTCATATCCAGTGTTGTCCGTTCCAACCTTGGCGTTGAAATCTCCCATCAGAATGGTCAGGTCCTTTGTTGGGCACTTCTCGACGATTGACTGCAGCCTATTGTAGAATTGATCTTTAGCGTCTTCATTGTAGTCGTTGGTAGGCGCATAGCATTGGATGATGTTCATTGAAATGCCCTCTTTCTTTGTTTTGAACGAGGCTTTGATGATCCTTGGTCCATGAGATTCCCATCCTATAAGCGCATTTTGCGCTTGTTTGGACAGCATCAATGCAACTCCTTGTGTATGTGGTGCATTTTTTCTTCATGGCCGGAGTATAACAGGAGCTCTCCTGTAGTTAGTCGTTGTTGTCCAACTTGTGTCCAATGTGTTTCACTGATCCCAAGTACCTCTAGGTTGTATCTTCTCATTTCTGCAGCAATTTGGAAGGCTCTCCCGGTGTCCCACATTGTACGAACATTCCATGTACCTAAATAAATGGTCGCTCTGGTTGTCAGAAGGGGCATCGGCCTCGTAACTTCCGAAGGAATTCGGCTTTCATCATGAGGCGTCATAATTCTTCTAAATGAAGACCTTCTGACTCCCAGGGCAGAGTTTAAAAGGTTTGAATAATTTTTTCTGGTTAGCGTCTTTTTAGCGAGTTAGTTTTCTACGGGATGGGGACGCTAACCCCATGCCCAACCCTCCTCCTTTATCCGGGCTTGGGACCGGCAGTAGCCCCCGGAGGGACTCCAGGCGGAGTTTCATCCGCTTACAACCTAAAATTATATCTTCAATCATTAAAATGAAACGTATTTTATCTCGGAAGATTCTAAAATGAATGGAGTCGATATATCGAGATGGAATAATATTAAGAGACAATAATACAGAAGAATCAACATTGTTCAGATGTTCCAGATTATAAGTGAGCGAACGTCCGAACAATATTAATTCTTCCATATTGTCCATCTCTGTACATCGACTCAATTCATTCTAGACCTCTCCGACATAAAGTATTTACACTTGTTTCTTTTTAATGATTAATACTATAATTTTAGGTTGTAAACGGCTGAAGAGAGACTATGAATTCATGTTATTCTACCACGACATTTGTTCTTTCGTTATCCAAGTTTATAAACAGGAACAACTGTGTAATGTTTTCATTGATAAGATTGTTCAATTTCCGACCACTATTATGTTAAACATTGAATTCACACTTCATGTGTCTTAGTTATCACCCACGGGGTAATATATCACCAGTACTTATAGACAAAAATGTATATCTCAAAGCCAATCATAGAAATCTATACTTGGTTATCAGTGAGTTGCATAGATTGACTAAAAAAATCCGTTGATAAAGAGTTCTAAGTATACTTATTGTAAGCATCACAGATTTATACATATGTATGTGTGAATTGCCAAGTTTATAATTGACCGATCAATGAGTAGTGATCAGTGTCATGTTTATTTAATTCTCTTGTCGATTGTATTCTGCCGATCAAGTTGTAGTGTGCCGATTGATCTGAGTGGTCCAACATTATGTGTATTATCCTTTAACGTTAGTTTGTTGAAAAACTCTCTGAGCTTCAGTTTCGTACCGCTTGTTACTTGTCAATCAAGTGTATCTGTAATCCTCAAGAAAGTTATACTTCTTGTTCTATTGGAACCCGAGTCATCCAGCATCACAGTATAGTACACAAAATGTCGAGCAACTCAGGCTAGTGGCCACACTGCAACTTGATTGATAGGGTTCGGTCAGTGCTAAAAGACTTGACATAGATGACGTTGGTTGCTACTCAATGGCCAATCTATGAACATGTCAGTCTTGCAGGAAGCTAATCAATGCTTAGACACCTCAGTGGTAACATTTCAGACAGTAAGATTGTATGAGAGGGGTTCGAATAACAATGGAAGCACTGGTTCCCTCAAGTCTAGATCGTATTACAAATATGTCTAGTTGTTCTCGCTGACCACTTTCAACCATCTAACAAATGGTCAAGTATGTATGTTCACTTAGTTATCATATTAAACATTTTTTGTTATCCCATGAACTTTTTCACTATCTCCTCCAGTTGACAGTGAACTCTTTCTCTTTTTTCATTTATCTCATCTTACAATCTATCCTTTCAGTCATTTAGTCAGATAGATCGATTGAGGTCATTTACATCTAGTAAATAGTCTATAGAACAGTGAGTGGAAAAGCAGACAGATAATGAGAGTGTTAACCTTTTATGAAATAAACAAGCACATATGTTTATGACTCATTGTAAAGTTATAATTTCACAAAACCTTCATTTAGAAAGAAAGGGAAATTGAAAGAAAACAAAAAGAGGAAATAGATTGGATGTTCGAGTGAACGAAATAGGATTAACTTAGTTTATGACCATGTAGTTTCTCTTCCATTTCAGTATTATTCATGTAACGAAATAGCATTGTTTTTTTATTAAAAGAATTGAATTCATGAAGAACATACTTTACTCTGATTTGTTCTCAGTTACATTTTTCTTTATGAATATTCCATATTATGTGAGTAAATAGTTATCCAACAAACAAGTGAAACGATTAATAAGTGATTAAAAGAGTAGAAAAATGTGATTGTACAATTTTCGTAGTTTAACCTGCGAACTGGTATTAGCTAGACCACCATTAAAAATCTGGAAGCACTGGACGATTATTTCATCCTAGTATGAAACTATTCAGAAGTGTACATCCATGACTTCTTAGCCGAAACCTAAACCCGTGACCCTTGGTCTCATGCCGTATGCTTAACCTCTAGACCACTGAGCCGGATGTGTAGTAATGGATTCAAACTACTCAATAGTCTCGTACTAGGATGAAAGAACCGTTCAATGCTACCAGCTTTCCGGTGGTAGTTTAGTTAAAATACGTTCGTGTTCTTGATAAGTCTTGCGAATCGAACGCTATATTCGTTTCCTAAGCTATTCTGTAACCCCCAAGCTAGAGCTATACAGCGACCTGAACAACGAGAGAGAAGACGCAAAGTATGCGAGAAGTACTTTACTCCGAGGTTCATTTCAGTACAGAAAATACAGGGTTGGATTGCTAGAAGATTCTGGAATGCTACTAAACATAGTAGCAGTGTAGCAATCAGCCAATCAGACCCTCTGCATGTGACGTTTCGCTTCCTTGATATTTTTGGCTAAAACTTCAAGTGAACGCTGATTGTATGAAACGCTTCTTAGTGTTTCCTGATCCTTGCTTGTCTTTTGCAAGACATTTTCTGGAGCACTCCAACAGTTCTTAGCAATGAAAATAAGAAATTATTTTATGAATAAAGAGTGGTTTGTTGAATATGCATTGATAACTTTTTTAGTCTCACTAGTCAATAGTGGAACACCGTGAAAAGGATACCTAACAAGAAACTATACCAATAGTCAAGTACAGAATGAGTCCTAATTATAGAGAACATTGTTCAACTTACTTGTACATACTGATGATTAATTTCAAGTGCATAAATCTAAGTACTATTTTTCTCATGATAATTTCAACTGCATCCCATATGGTCATATTTAATGTTGTACTTCCACGTGATCTTAGTATTTTGTATGCTTTTCATACCAATAGCCAGATATTTATTCGTTTATCATAATAAATATTTCATAACATAGTGCTCTTTTTCCGGTAATAATTTTAGAAGTTTCCTCAAAGTATTTCACACCCACTTTAAATACAAAGCTGTTTTTATCACTTGTTATTTTAATATAAGCTTTATTTACATTTCGTCTTGCAAATTATCGACGTTATTCAATGCATCATTTTATTTTTGTTTTAGCGCAGAGACAGTATTTACAAAAAACTGTAGAAACAATAAATCTAAGTTGTATCACTGAACCCACATCTTTACCTACACAAATTCAACCAGAAAAAAATTCATTATCATCATCTGTAATAAGAGATCAATCTGATTCACAAGGTGAAGAAGAAAATTCAGATTCCCCTCAGAACTCACAAAATTTTAAAGAACAGTCACATCCTCTAGCAATGGGAATAATAACTGGACCTAGTAGTCTTCATGTAGCTTCATGTTTAAGTTTAGCAGCTCGTGAAAGAAGTGCATTAAGCATGGCAAATCTATGCGTTGATCGAGATGGTTCAGATTTTGATAAAGTAAGTGATACTGAACAACATGAACTAGGTTCAATTCATCAATATCCGTGCATAAATTCACTACATCGGCCTCGTCCACTTACATCAATCAGTGCTCGTGTATCAGATGCAGATATTACAGATGATGATCATCATTCAGTATGTAGTCAACGAAGTAGTACTGCACGTTCCATATCAAACATTTGTCGTCATGGTCACAGACATCATCATCGTCGTCATAATCATAATAATCGTCAAAATCGTCCTCGTTGCCTTTCGGCAATAGATCCTTACATGATCTATAATCAAAATGGTGAAGAATCAGACAATCAAAATTCTGTCAATACTAAATATGACTCTTATCAAGCAGATAATCAAGTCAATCCTCATGGTGTACATTCAAAACCACAGACGTTTCGTCGACTTGTAAGTTTTTTTAAAAAAAATATTTTTCATATAATAAATCATTTCCTTAAGATTTGTAATCATCAATATAATCTAGTTGATAATTTCAAAATTTTGTCTACAAAATTTATTTTTCTATATCAAGGAATAAAAAGCAAAGAACAAAATCAATCCGCTACACTCGTTGGTTTTCAGTTTACTTTTCTTTACTTTCATCTACTTGAAAATCAATATATATATATATATATATATATATATATATATATATATATATATATATATATATATATATATATATCGATGAACGACGCGACTACACTTTCTGTGCACAACAAAATTTTTAAGAATACATTCCCTTTTGTCTGTTTAACTAGAAATATTTGAATATTAGTAATTTATTTAATAAAATGCATTTGTCTGTTGGTTAAAAAGGCAAACAAACGAAACAGTTAGTTTATCAAAGTGTAAAAAAACTTATAGGAATTTCTAATATAATTTTAAAATATGTTACATAATATGACTTTAAAGATTCCACATATTGCCAAATTTATTGGAATACAATAAAAATTTCCTTGAATTATATTTTAGACTCTCTTCTTAACACGATCAAATAACTTATCAACATACAGTTTAAGCTGAAACCGAGATTACTACTTTTAAAGTTTAAAATTATTGTTATCGAAAAGACAGTGAATATAAATGAATTAGACAAATTAAAAACAATTTCCTGCGACAGTATATATATTTTAAATGATGTATATTCGAATACAACACGAAGTACCACTTAATTGAGGACTACAGACGCTTCTGATTACCAAGTAACAACCAGTACAAAACGTAGGTTCAACAAGTCCTTTAAACTACCTTTAACCAGTTAGCGTCAATTTATAATGCACATGATGTTGAACCACGCAGATTAATGGACAAAATGCGATCAACAACAAGAGGATTAGATGAAAATAACACTGATCACTACTCACTGATCAATCAATAGTAAATTCATATAAAATTCTATTAATCAAATTGTAATCATATTTAGTTCTAGTGAGTTTGTACAGGTCTATTCTCCGACTGTCATCGTTACATGTAAATTTAATGTTAAAATCAGTAAATAATCAACATCATATAAAAATATTTAACATCATATTGACAATTATTATTTCAACTTGAAAGTTCCATAATATTAATATTTATGAGAAATTACTGTCATCTGTCCTCCTCTCCCTACTTCATCCAATTACTGAAAGATACGACATAAATAACTAAATAAAACCCTTTAAATGGTTTATAATGGGAAAATAAGTTTCTTTCATTAATATAATGTAATTAGTTCAACCGGACGAAAAAAACATCTTTCTGTATAACTTATGAATTCAAGGTTCATTTAAAATAATATTTAACTAACAAGAAAAAATTGAGTTAAGTCAAATTGACATCATTGAACTTATTATTATCATTATTATTATTATAAACACAGTACGATTGATCAATCAAATTTCCATGCTTTCAGTTATCTGTGTACAGCTCATAACGTTCACACACATACACACAAATGAAAATTCTCCTACTCCCTTCAGCGTTACAACAACAAAAATAACCTGCCAGGATGATGATTAACTTAGTCTAATCATTATCATTAACAACAAGCTATTGTTCTGTTACAGGAAGCCAAAGTAAAATGAGATAAATAAAGTTAGATTTTCATCCTTTTTAAATAATAATAATAATAATAATAACAATAAGGAGAGGAAAAAGAATGAGAGAGAGAGAAAGAACAAAAAACGGTCACTTCTAAATTAGATTTTCTATAATTGAATAAAAATAAATTCCATTGAGGAATCTATTTGTTTATTTGATATATTGGTCTAGGGAAGAAATATCGATTTTTTGTGATTGTTTTATTCCCCTATTAGAGATATTTTCTCTCAACTGAATTATTTGATCATGAAGCTTTCATTGTCATTCTAAATAAAGCCATCAACATTTGTGCAAAATTCAAAGTGAAGTGATCTATTCGAATTACTTCACATTCTACTAGGAGTTGGTTTTTTTAAGACAGGTTTTGACTTGTTGTTATCAACAATTGTCTTGTTATTCTATGTATGTTTATTTTGACCAATTTTCCTCTCTTGACCTGATTCTTGGACTTATAGTTGTTGATGTCTTTCCAAATTGGTCGATAAGTTCGTCCAATTTCGATATGCTTATTGATTCCAGATTGACCTGAGTGCCAAGTTAACTTGTTTTTTTTTGTTGCTATTATTATTACCATTTTTCATGACTCATTTACCATTTGCTGTAGGTCAAATTTTGTATATAAATATATTTATTTTACGGAAAATAACAAAACTACTTTTTATAATCGTTAGAAATCACTAAGTCTTATGAGTTTAATTCTTTTTATACATATAACATTACTTAAATCAGCGCGTAAAGATATTTCTGGTTAGATGATTTATTGAAGTTTTTCATTTAGAAAGTACTATTTAATCATGAAAAACGAAATAACTAAAAACCTGCGAAAGAAAAAATGATTAGGAAGTAGGTGTTTTATTTTGACTAGGAATTGCTCAAACTGTATTACCTATTCATAATACAATAAAAGATTGATAGTGACAGTAGAAAACGCTTTTTTAAATTCACAAATTACTTTTAATGTCATCCTATTATTCCTACGCATAATTTTCTGTTGAATTAAATTCAGAAAAATATCACAGCAAACGTGGAATTTCATTAGTGCAAACCAGTACGTTTTTTTCTTCATGTGTAATTGACATCCATTCACACATTTTATCAAATTTGGTATATAGCTGTAACCAAAATCCAGAATGGGCATTTCGTCCAGTTCTGAACTCGTCAATTGAACAAATCTAAATCCTAGTATTTATGTTCACACTGAAATTGAAACCAAGTACTCTTTTCGGCAAATACCAAGTGAGTTATTCAGACAGCCAATAACTTGTTCAGAGAATGTGAAGGTATTATAGTTCATAGTTTTAAATATCGATAACAGTAAACTACAAACTATTATTAACACACTCATTTTTTTTCTTTTTAAAACAAAATAAAAATTGCATAAATCAACTTATAAAGTGCTCTTCTTTACTGTTCACTGACTTCAATATTCTTTAAGTTTAAATAATTAAATCAACTGGAGAAAAAGACTGGCTTCTTATTTCGATCATTATCGAATAACGAAGATTCGTAGTGACAATGAATTCACTCCCTAGTACACACTATATCATAGTAACTTCGATATTAATATTAAATTGTTTAAATTTCAAAGAATGTAAATAACTTCAAAAATCTCAACCATTTTCTTTTTATCTTTTTTGTAGACAAAAATGTTAGTTATGATCACTTAAGGTAAACATATATAACATGTAGTGTTTAGTTGGGTTTTTTTTAAAACTATGTAATCATTGATGAAAATCTTCATATAATAAATAATCTGAAATTATACAGAAACTATATAACTAGTATTATTTTTTCTTCACTGAATCCATATAGAAAAAATTTATGAATCACGTAATCACAGGTCAACTGAACAGAACAATTAATTCTGGTTGAAAAAAAGAACCTTTGAAGATAATTAAACATGCGATAACAATCAATCAAAAACATAATCATCCGGAACGAATTAATTTAACTCTAGTAGAATAATCTTTTTTTCCAAATTTTCACTTCTAATTGTAATAGGTAGTGATTATCTAGTATAAAATAACAATGAAATTTCCACGATTGAACTTTCTAGTTGAATGAATGTGATACTATCATAATAACCGTCATTTAGATTGGTTCATTTCAAACCACAATGACAAATTTAATTTAAGAATAAAAGAACTATTGATTAAAATATCACAATTTATAGGGTTTTTTTATTGTTCTCCTTTTTATATTTGGGAAATAATGAAAATGAGAATTTTCGTCAATTCTCTGTTCTTAATTAAAATGGAGCAAACTCAAAAAAATAATCAATTTTATCTGTTGAATTTTTACCGTTTATTTAGAATCTTCTGATTCAAGTTTTCTAATAATAATAATAATTAACTTAGTCGATCAAAGTTCCTTTATTCATCCCACTTCACTCCATTATGTTGATAATGGAAAGTTTGTTCTAATAAGAATTTCTTCAAATTGTAGTCTTTTTCACTAGGTATTTGTCATTTCAGAACCGAATATAACCCTCTTCTCCTCCAGTTATTCAAATAACATGTTTGATAATTTATTTGTGCAAAATATCCAAGTTAAGCGTTTTCAATTTGTCATTCTATAATTTGTATTAATGCTGCTTTAAAGTATTTGGAGAATCAATAAGTGTCCTGGTAATTATTCTGAAACGTGTCATAAAAATATAGGCATACATAATCGAAAATAGCCCCTTGCATATGTGCCATTCGTTTTTGACTTATTAAAATAGTCTAAGACGTTATTTAGTCTGAGGTGGTCAGTAAAATAAACTGACTACGGGTTTCATACTATTTAGCGCTCATCAGCAAGGTATATCTGGAGTTTTAAATGAACCGATGCTTACTGTGGTATTTGAATCGTAGTTTTCCAACTTTATATTGTGAGACGTTTCCACTCGGAAACTCGGAATGCGACTGATATTTTTCAGAACTGTGATATTTACAACTGATTCAATACTTAGTAGTGACTAGCGTCATGATTATATAGTCCTTTACTTATGATCGTATTTTATTGATCGAGTTACAATATTGCCATTAATCTAAATGAATTGACATCAGGCGAGCTATGTTTTGATGTTGATCATTGGAATTAAGTTAGGGCTGGAGTCTAGGCAAAAATAACATCAATCATCACTCAGTAATCACTCAGTGCAAATTCCCTAAAACATCTATTGCTTAAAATAACAAATATTAAAATCTATTATAAATATATACTCTAAATATTTATTTTCAGTCAGAGATTCGAAGTACTGCACTAAACTTAACCCTATTTTTATATATATTTTTTCAATTAAATATGATTTCTTGTAATATCTTCAAAACAACACCAGATTATCTATCGGTAACTTTCAAGAGAAATACTATTTCAACTTTCTAGTTTGATTTATTTACTTAACATTTCGCGATAAATACATATATTTCCTTCTTCCCTGAATTATATCACGAATAATTGAAAATGAAATTCTGTTGAAGTATCATTTTCTAATATACATGAGAAAAAGTACTTTTTTATCAATCCATAATTCATAATAAGTTTTTTTTTAAATATTTTAATGAGAAAAACGGTATCTGTTCTTATGCTTTAATCCCTTATTTTCTATAAATATTTCTTTTGTTTTCAGTCAAAGCATCATTTGGATGAGGCCTATCATTTAGTTCGTGAATTAGTTATGACTGAACGTACCTACAAAAGAAATCTAAGTGTGATTTGTACAGTAAGTTATATAATCTTGTTAGTGTGATTTTTTTCTTTTTTCATGGTTGTCATTTTACTCTATGTATGTTGGCAATAAAAACCCAGACTATCTAGTTATTTTAGCCCTGACATTTTAAGAAGTCCTCAACGACTTTCACCAACTTATGTTTCCTCGGTTGTTCTCACTTTTGACTAGTTACGTTTTTTACTTGTATGATACTGTATAAACAGAGACATTTTAGCTTACCCAAACATCAAAATTTTGCACAAAATCCTGATTTTCATCTTCAGCACGTGTGGAATCATTGTTTAATTATTGTTTATTAGTCTCATTGTCTATGTATTTCTCTATGATCCTATTTCGTATTAGAAAAATATTCCGATTGCCTGTAATATGTAATGACTTAAGACAGCCTCAAAGCATAACATATGTTGACTTTGTAGTTGAGCATACACTAGAAATGAATATCGGTTGGTAAATCTGTTACCTCTGAGAATAGTGATTTTACACTAAGGATGATAAATACTGTAAGTCTATTGACTACAATCTAACAATTAAACCAATTTCAATTTGATCACGTGATTTGTAAACATAGTTTGTTTAATTTTTAACAGACTATTTTTCATAGTTTTATTACAGTTCGTTTTTCAAATGATATCATCTAAAACAATGTAATATGTTCGTGTTATTCTTATGCTGGATCTATGCTTTCAATGATTTCCAGAAAAAAGTAATAAAAGCAAGTCGTAAGCCTGCACTAGTCCCATCATTACTATTTTTATACACCACCTATCAAGAACACACTGAATATATTATTGAGATAGTTAGGTTGTCTTTATTGGTGTTGTTACCTAACCGATTGACTGATGTTTGACAGGATGACCTAATTTTTACAATTTCGAGTACAATTAAAACTGATAAAAAAGATTCCTGTAGATGGTGCTGATGATAAATATCACTAACACAAAAGTTAACAAAAATTATGAAGTGATTGACGTGTTTAACTGTGTTGTCCAGAGTTAATAGTTCAATCGTTATCTAAACTAAATAATTCAGTTGTGTAGTTATCATTCACACTTTTATTTTATACTAAACTATAGACTGATAAATTGCATGGCTTAATACCTTATAATCTAACAAATAAATCCGAATACTTTAAATTCAATCATAGTTAGTTGGTGTATGAATATACTAACTAATTAACTTTTATTTACTATTACAAATTTAGCATATTGATAAATTCCTTTACAGCGGAATAATTTTATAATCAGATAAATTATCATTTCTTTTTTATATCGTAAAATCAACTGTAGAAAAATGGTTGAAATATTAAAACAGTTCATATATATATGCATGCATAAATTAAATGGGATAAATGGAATGATTTGACTACTTTAAGGTAGTAAGAAAATTTTATAGTGTTATTATCATAGGACAATAATTTATGGGATTAGTATATTATTTGGTAAATTTATGTTATACCTAAGAACTAATCAGAATAAAGGTAGTGATATTTAGCGTTTTGTGGGGAATTCAAAATGTTTTATAAACTAGCATTAACTTTGAATAGCTTATTAAAGAATACCTTTATTTGGAGTACAAATAATTTAAAGTTAATAAAGAACAAATTTTATGTCATCCTATGCTGAAAACGACATTGAGTTAAACCATAATTACACTAAATATTTACTATTTTTTTGAAGTAGAATCGATTCGATGGCAATTTGTCCGTTTTTCATCGGTTACTACAATGTGTTATTGATATTACTGAATTATTAAATGTATATCACTGATCTAATTTGGCTAAACAAATATTGGAAGACGGCAATCGTTATTATACCTATATCGACCTAGAATGAAACTTCTAAGTGATTCACATACACGATACATTGGAAATTAGGAAAAGGTGAACATCTGTTTCTTCTTAGTATGATGTGAATTGTGGATATGTTTTTCGATTGTCCACATTACACATTGAGTTAAAAGAATTCTTATATAGTTTAAATAGCTTAAAATATTAAGAATTTCACTTAAGTTGTTCATATGATGTTTGTGAATTAACAGAACAACGAATTACTTACTGATATTCCTTCGAATAGATTATATTTTGAAGCAAACATAATTTACTACAAGAAAATAAGAACACGTCAAAATGTTCAAAAACTTGTAAATTATGTCAAACCACCGCATACATTTAGGTTTCATTAATAAATTAGCAACTTAATAAGGTTTTTAACGGTTTGTGTTCCCATTATTTACTAAGAGGCATAAAGGTAACGAGCTAATTTTTGTTGTCGCTCAAGGCCTGAAGTATCGTATAATTCCGTTCACTTTATCTTTCAATAATGAATCTAAATGTATAGTAAACAGTTGAAACCAAGCCTGTGAACCTTGGATATATGTTTAATACACGTTAGTACTCTTCTCCAAGATTTATTAGTAATCTTGAATGAGCTGATGATTTTAGTGGGATTCAAACCGTTGACTGACTTTGACATTAGGTTATTAAGCTGGTTCTTTACACATCACATTTCATTGGAAAGTTACATTATCTTTGAGTAACCATTCATTCAAAATTAAAAATTTAGTGTATAGTTTCTTTTACACAGAAAAGGTGATGTCTTCTGAAGGTATTTTATGTTAAATTGACAAAAATGCTGACTGGATTGTTTTGAGTAATACTCATATATTACTTAAATAGTAGTTTAATATTCCTGATAACAAGTAGTATATGTTTATTCATGCCAATTTCATGGCAGTTTATTCTCCTTTCACGAAAACGCCTTCTGTGATCTAATTTCAAAGCCAGTTAATAATTTATTTGAGTAACTAAGACAATGATTACTCCCTAACTCATTTGTTATTAATAATTTCAAACAATATATAAATTGATATCTGCAAGAGCTTGTATTTTTCCGTTGTTAATAATTAGTCTCTATCGGTATATGTGCATTGTGAGAGACAGGTACTGGGTTCAATTCGCAATGTGAGCATTAGCACTGATATGCGAATACAACCAGCTGATGAGTACCAAGTAGCAAGAAGATGCACATCTTGGATACCCTCTCGAGTCACTATTCAATAATAAATATAAATATAAATTGATAGTTTGACTTAAATTGAATAGTCACTTTTTTAAAACATATCATGGCTTAACCATTCATGTGTAAGGTAGATATCAATAAAAATTTTGTTGTTTTATAGTATTCTTAACTAATTATTCTCCTTTGAAATCTTGTTAAGTGTCCATATTATTTATAGCTTAGATAAAAATTCAAAACAATTCTGTACATAGCTTACACTAAACCAACCAGTGACTTATCATCATCATACCCAACGTCGAAAATGACAAATGTATGCTTCAGTTCAAGTTGGCATACCACTTTACCACAATGAGATAAAATTGTTCCAAGACAAAGCACTAGTAGTAGAAGTAATAACAATTTCAGGAGTAATTAAAAAAGATCACGTATAGAAAAATAAATAATGGTATGAGGAGATTTCGGGACTCAGGTTCCAGGGAAAAACAATGAGTGAATACACATCCTCCATCGCGAAAGATTCTGAGTCATGTCACATGTCATGTAATGATCATATGGACCCAATCAGACAGTTTACACCTGTTAACCTGACTCATTCCAACTGTCAATGACTTGATGGACTGATACCACATTTTGGTATGACCATCTCTAGCTTTATCCAACCTACTCCTACATCAGGCATAATCGAGAATCAGGTGAGGTGTGTTTTAGCATAAGTAACACACGTCTCAACCACCTCGTTGATAAAGATTTACTACCTCATCAATCGATTTTCCATCACTGAATCATATACAACCTTACAGGGTTCAGTATTTTTTACATATCTGTTTAAATTTTACTGTATCCTTAGAGAAAACCCTGATGAAGATCTAATTGAAAACAACATTATTTGTTTCTATGTGCGTTGTTCTAAGTACATAGTAGGAATTTTTAATGTTTCAAAGTAAACTTTACATATTCACCAATATTTTTCATACTGTTATTATCATTACAGAAATAATCATAATATTTGTTATTAAAACTGAAAAATAATAAATTACGTAAGCATATTATTGTTGTTTAATTTTCATTTATCTCTCATTATATCAAATATCATTAAAAATGTTTTTTAATAGGAAGCTTAATGAAAGATATTTATTTCTTTTTAGAAAAAACCCAGACGACTAGTACTTGAAATTTAATAAGATTAGAATAAATTGACAATTTTGGACTGGTTTCTAACTTCCTTCAACATTTTCCTTTTTTTCTTTATTATATGATAAATCCTTTCATTTGTAGAACATATGATTTTTAATTATTGAGGTTGATCTGGATAATATGCCAGAATTAATATTAATGGTTTGTGTGTGTATGTTTGTTAAGGTCTAGTCTAAAATATTATAAACTTATAGGAAGCAGTCGATTTCTTTGATTTTCAAATACTACACATAACAACATCGATTCTACAGATAGAAGGTTGTGTTTGATTTTTTTTCGGAAATATGGTAATACCAAGCTTTTAGTACGTTGTTTCTGATATTGTCAATAGACAATGAATAAAGAAGTTCGTAATGATCTCATTAATATCAATAGATCTATTTTAAGATGTAAATTAAGATGAGATGTTTAAGCAACGTGAATGGTGTATATCAGTAGGTTAGAATGCTAGTTTTATTTATTTAAACTAACACTATTGTACTCAACAGTTCAATAATGATTGGACTGTTTATTTTTAGGTAATATTTCACACTACATATTCCTTAAAGAATTGTGAGCACTGTCTATTCGATATATTTGGTTAATACATAAATATTTGAACACTAGTGAACTAAAATGTAATAATTTAAACAGTTGAGATCATGAGTCGATTGAATCTAGACCACCATGGAAAACCTGGAAGCACTGGATGGCCAGTTCGTCCTGTTGTGAGACTCCTCAGCAGTGCGCACCCACGATCACGCCCACCCCGCGAGATTCGAATCAGGACCTATCAGTTTCGTGCGCGAGTGCTTAACCACTAGACTACTGAGCCGGCATTCAACGGTGTTAATGTCTAACTTCAACTAATCCACGAAATTGAGTGACACATCCACCATTGTCTTCAGTGAGTTACTACCTCACAACTGACCCGGTCGTCCAGTGCTTCCAGGTTTTCCATGGTGGTCTAGCTTCAGTTGACTCATGATCTCAACTGTTGAAATTACTACAATCTCCACAAAACCCCTTCTGATACTAAAATGTAATGACAGATTATTTTTTCTAAATCGATTAATCGATTTAATCAGTACCCATGAGTATAGTATAAAATCGTTCCCCTTCCCTCTTTGTCTTGTTTATAAACTATTTTATATTCATAAGTGTTTATTAATTTATTAATGCATAAAATTAATCAGTACAGCATGTCATCAGTAAAATTAAAAATTTACAATAAAAAGATTTCCGTTTTTTAATGTTTATTTCAAAAATTAATAATATGCTCAGTCAATCATTTCTTATTTCATCATACAGCAGAATAGAACTATGGAAAATAAGAGTCATTAATTTATTGAGACATTTTCATTTTCAATCAATGTCAATATCATAAAATGAATGAAAATACTAGACAAAAGGAGGTGAGAGAGAGAGAATGGTTTTTTTTATTACATTGTGATACAAGTAACTCTGAATATCTCAGCAGCTTGGATAATAAATTATAATGCTATTAAATTGTTTAACTATATATTCTCACTATTCTTTTTCCATACATCTTCAGCAATTCCCTACTCTACCAATCTTAAGTTTATATGAACGTTGAATCAAGAACTCTTATGATCTGAGATAAGTTTAAGTCCATCAAACGATTGACTTTAATAATCATCTGACACTAGACTGGTGTCTAAGAACATCAAAACAAGTAAAATCACACTAGTTTTATACTTGAAAGTGGATGCATCGATCAATTGTTTACCCTTCGCCAGGTTTTGAAATATATACATATTTAACAACACTTCAGTATATTTGCATTTCCTGACTTTTTATTTTCACTTGACTATTGATCAAGAAAGTTTTGTCAGTGTTTTCCATTTCAGGATGTATCAAATAATGTATATAAACCTAACGAAGGCTCTTCGCTGAATACGCTTGATTCGGTTATAGAATACGATGAACCGTGATCTGACATAATTATCCCAAGCATTGTTCTTTTGTGTCTTTTACATTATTGGATTTGGTTTGATCAGTCGAAGGTGTGTATTGTTTCACTTATATTTAAGGTCTAGTCTCCCCTGGTAAGTTAGTGGCAAACGAAATCTTAGCACAGAAACTGTAAATCCTCGTGGTTTTTTTCAGGCTCACTTCACCTGTGGAGTGGGTTAGATCTCCACCCGACAACCAGTGGGTGAATATACTACTTAGCAGTCTGGTCTGAATTGATGTAACACATGCCTTACGAAAGTATAGAAGACATGTAGCTACGAGTTAGTGATTATTGGTATCTTCGGATTATCGTTCCCAAAGCAGCAAGTAATAATAATGTTATTTCCAGAGCACTGGGACAAAAGTGAAATTAACTCATGAGGTTACGAACCTTTGTCAATAGAAATGGTTATGATATGTTTTACGTAGGTCTAGTTACTGCCTATCCCGACATGCAGTGCTGACCGAAACGAATAAGTTGATTAAAAAAACGGAACAGCCAAAATAATAAGTAGGTTTAGTCCATGAAATCACTGACTTTTAATCTAAGCTTTTCAAGTAGGTGCGGACTTTTTTACTGGATCCCATGCGCTAGTCATAATCAGTGTTTGAGATGTTCGTTGACAACACAAAATTGGTCTCAGTAATACAGGTATATTCATTCTTTAGCTTTCTCTCAATTTCAAGTTATGTGTAACTACTAAATTTTTACTTTTCAATTATATCTATTGGTTTTAAACTATGTTTCTAATGTCTATACCTCTATTATTGTTAAAATTAATTACTCTTCTTGATTTTGTTGATTTCATCTCACTGTATTGATATAAAGTGTAGCAAATTGAATTGACATGCATCGGTACTTAGTCTCCTGCATTGATAATGACTGGTTTATACTGTATATAAAATTTCTAATTCATGCTTGTAATTTTCTTTTACTTCTTTCAAAGCATTTTAAAGAAATCGGTAAAGATCCATTATGTTCAAATCTCAATATTAATCCTCAACTATTACAAGAATTAACATCCAATTTAGTTGATCTTCTTAATCCAATCTATACAGAACATTGTATAATATTAAATAATTTTGAAAATCGTCTTTCAAATTGGTCATCACAACAAAATAATCATAATAAACAATCCACTGGTTTAGATTCATTAGCTTTAAATTCTCATTCAATTAATTCATCAACTGAATATCGTATTGGTGATTTATTTGTTGCAAGTTTACATATTTTACCGGTAAGTTTTAATTTATCAGTTTAGGTGTTGTGGAGATTGTTAAGTTTTCGATAGAAATCATGAGTCGATTGAAGCTAGACCACCATGGAAAACCTGGAAGCACTGGACGGCCATTTCGTCCTACTATGAGACTCCTCAACAGTGCGCATCCACGATCCCGCATCCCGCGAGATTCGAAACCAAAACTTTTCAGTCCAGTGCTTCCAGGTTTTCCATGGTGGTCTTGCTTCAATAGACTCATAATTTCAACCAAAAAGTTCCAATTTGTTTGTTGTCACTTTTTCATATTGTTAACGAAATTTTTTTCCTTTGTTTCATTTAAATTATTGTAAAATACTGTCAAAAAAAGAATAGAAGTACATATGCATATATTCGTTTGTATGCTGATCAGTTGACACTTATTGTTTTTCAATCCCATTAAAATTTTTAAAGAATAATTTATCATATTCAGTTTTTTTTATTACTGTAAATGTCAAATGACTTTTAAAATTAATATATTTATAATTTAGTTATGATAAAATTTGTTGTGAAAGAAAGATATTCTCTTTTCAGATTTGGTTTCTGTCATTTTCGATAATGGCTGTTTCGTTCTAGTATGGAATTCCTTAACAGTCCACATCCACAATCCCACTAGGGAATGGAACCTTGAATCTGCAGGTCACATCGCAAGCATATTAATTTTTAGATAATAGTGTTGACTTTCGATGGTTTAAATTTTTTTTAACTTCAATCAATTCTGCCATTGATTCATTTTTACTGTGAATAACTCCAGATTTGTGGATACTTTTTTCACAACAGAATAGGAATTATGGATTTCGTTTCCATTTCATACATTTATGAGATTCAGGTTGGATTGAGAAAATAAATAGGGTTCATTTATGCGAGAATGAGACAAATTAATACTCAAACGGTGTGTAGCACTCACAATTTCATTTGCTTACGTAATTACAATCAAATTTGTGCGACCAAATAGTTAAAACCAATATACGAATTACATATACCTTATAGATATTAATTAGTATTACAGACATGATTGGTTATCCACACGCTTACATGGTTTTATGCCTGTATCTATCATATAGCTTATCCAAGGTTAAAATAGAAAGATGTTGATAGAAAAAATAAAATAATGGCTTGCTTGTCAGTGATAGTTGTGTCAGTATCAGTAATTTAACTAATAGACTGTTGAGTTATTAGCCTCTAAGTTGCCGGTTCGAGTTAACGGATTACTCGAGTTTATTTTCTTAAATTAAAATCTCGATCTATGATTTAGAATTCAATTTGAAAATAATCACCAATGCAATTAATTTAATCATAATTTTGTAACTCCTTCATTCTCTAAGCTGAATATTTTAAACACAGTGCTTTCATTCTGACTAGACAACACCATCAGTATAAACTTGAAAAATAAAGAATATGAGAACCCCTTTACATATAATTTGGTAATTTACTAAGTGACCTAATGGGGTATGAAAATTTGTTTTAGCTGTAAACATGTTATCACAACAATAAACCAGCAGCTTATCAACGTTTTCGTTGACTTGACCTCTGACTTTGTTCATTGTTTATTTGAAATACTGATTAGTTGAACATGCGTAAACATTCTTATGCATCGCTAAGCAAACTAAATGTCAGATTTCTGAAAATTGTATTACAAATTTTAATAAATACCATGGATTGAAATATTTTTCCAATCAAACTATTGCCCGAAATTTTCCATATAAATGAGATAAAAGTATATCTTCCATGAAACGAGACAGACAGTCGATGTTCAGACGAAAAAAGACGTGAAAACGTCTATTTGTTCTTATTATTCAGTGTCATTGTAGTAGTTGAAATTTATTCTGCTGTTGAAATTCGACTCGCCCCTTTTTTTACATTGTTCAGTTCGTGTTAAGATATTTTCGAAACTTTTTTAGTCGTTTCGATATTAACTAGTTTCGGCAAACTGCTTTATAGTTCATGGTTGACTAAGCAGAAGTTTTTCAAGCGAAGTTATATATGAGGCAATTGTTTTCAATTATTTTTGTTTGAAAACTCCATGAGGTTGATATTTGCAATCTCTTCTTCAGTTCTTAAATGTTCCTGTTCAAAATATTTTATGAAATAAGTTACTGGACGCTTTGTATATATTAATTAGACGAACGATTTTTGTAGAATAAATTTCCATGCGCTTGTTTTTTTTATTAGACGCTACTGATTTTGTTAGTCAACGTTCCTGAAAGTGGAAATCCTTTGTCCTTGATTCTACCTCTAATGAGAAATCTTTTATCACTGAACTTTTCAGGTTGTTATTAATTACATCTCTCTACATAATAATTAGCTAATAATAGGAAAACTGTAATTTACGCGATCACTTTTTTTATATCAATCTTTTGATAATTAAATAATGTTCAACTTATCGACTAACGATGAAAAACACCAGATATAATCCACATGCAATAGTTAGAAGTGAATATTTTTAGCACATATTTTCGGTCTAAAAATATAAGTTGTGACACTCTTTCAAGTATATTACGTATCTTTAATGCATTGAACTAATGTTTTTCTTAGTTTCAAAGTGATGTGCATGATAATATACTTCTTGAAAAATTTAGCTACCCTCAACATTTTCATCTACTGAAATCAAATTAAGTAGCTAAATAAATATCATTAAAAAACCGTTTCATGAGCAGCAAACTATTCCCATTTTATTCATTCGTCCTTTTTAATATTTTGAATCTATAGAGAAGAAAAATGATATTTATCTCGTCATATGGATTCATTACACTAAATGAATACACATCAACTGTAAACAGTCAAAAACTATAGTGAACTTTCATCGGTATTACAAGCTGATTGTAAAATAGTGATTTTTGTTGGTTTCAGACAATGAATCATTTGAAATAGATGATAATTTGAGGCTACATTGGAAAAGTTCGATAAGAGAGCAACAGTAGATTCAAATCACCTAACTCTGGGAAATCAGAATGAAAATGAATGAAATACATGGTGATACCTTTAAATTAATAGACATTAATATACAGTATGTAAATTCAAATGTCATTTACCGGCAAAATGATATTTCGAGACAATCGAGAATATTTATAGATTAGGATTAGGATTTTAGAGGTATTATGTTCATATTTGCATATGATTACATGAAAACTGAATAACTGTTAAATGCAACGACATTTATTTGTTTATATCAATATGTGTGAACAACTATGAACATAAGTTCGACCTGGAAAATGTAAGAATAATGTACAGAGGAAACACAAAGAAAGCTGAATAACTTTAGATGTCTAGCACTCCAGTCAAACTACAATCAATGGACAAATCGAAATCGCTCAAATCTATCAGCCAATAGAAAATTAATAACGGCAAGGTTGCAGGTCAAGTTAGGAGAGAAGACAAAAAAATACACAAACAATGATCACATAGTTATGAATAACAACTGACCGAATTCCAGGTCAACAGAACAAGCTTTTAGTCAATTCTGGAAAAGATCTAGTAGCTCACTTCTCATCGAAGTTCATCCTGATGATATTGTCCAGAAGGACAATGAAAGCTTCACAAATAAACCATCCAGCTTAGAGAACATAACACCAACAAAATGACATTTTGTTTGGTCAGCTGGTCATTTTTGCAGTAACTCAGGAGAAATTATTGTAAGGAAAGACTAATTAGTAAAGTTCTTCAAAAGACCATTAATCATGGTCCATTAATGTGTGTCTGTGATGTCTGTGCCAATTATGTATTTCTTTGTAATCACCTGGTCAGGTAAGTGTGGCTGTGGTCACGTGAGCATATTGAGTTATAACATTTAACTGCCAGAGTATTGAAAGGTTAGTCATTTTTTTGGTGTAAAGAATTCTGACAGAAAAACGGATCTGCTAAGCATAATGTTTATCAACCTCAGATATAGGATCAATCAATAATCATTGTATTCAGCTTAATTTAAGTAAATCTTTTGATAGTCTACCTGCTTTTTTATGTTTAGTCCACTTTGAATGTACAAAATGAGTTAGTTCAAAGGCTGAATAGCAGGGTAGAACTTATAGCAAAAATTCATGCAACTATTTACAATTATGTCATTCGATGATTAACTTCAACGTTTAGCTTTCTATTTTTATCTGAGAAATATATTTTCCCTAATCTAATAAGTCTTGTTTCCTCTACCCCTCTCTTACATATACTTTTCTCTTCTCTACGTGAACAAACCAAAATGAAAACATATAATTAGCTCTATCATTGTTATTTAATGCATGCGGGAAATATTATACTTGATATTGAAAAATTAACAAGAATTAGACCGGAAATCGAACAATTATTAAGAAATTTTGAAGCACAAAAATATTGTTATCTACCATTCTATGTATTTTTATTAAAACCAATGCATCGATTGTTACAATATCGTGTATTACTTGAACGATTAATGCGTTACTATGGTGAAATCCATCCAGATTTATCCGACTGTAGAAGTAAGTAAAATCATTAGTATTTGTGGATTTGTCGTCTTTTTTTCTAATGTAACTCCTTAAGATGTATACAAATTTGGGTAACAAGAGTTTAGCTATGCACTTCTTACTTATGTAAAGACTAGCGATACTAAATTAAGAGAACGCAGAGTAAAATTCAGACCTGGGACTTAATGAATGGAAGTCAAGCTACTTAACCGCCTAGCCATGGCTCCGATTCAATGAAATTCTATTAATACCAGCATTTTTTTAAAACCATGTCATTCAAATCAAACTGAAATTAATAAACATATCAACAGATGCAAATTAACAATCTATATTGAAGAGGTCAGTGAATCGCATAGTTAACAGAATACCCAGTGAAAATCCAAACATATTTGTAGATAACAAAGCCATCAGTCACGGACAATTACAAACAAGTTTATGAAAATGAAATGATTTCACTCTTGTAGAATTACTTTAGATTAAATTTCTACTTGAAATGAAATCTAGTTATATTGTCCAGAACGACAGTGAGACGAACTCAAGCTTCTTGCAAGTCGGAATTGTAAATTGCTGTATTTCAATTGAGTAGTTATTGCTAGACCTAAATGTTCCAAACTTAATCTCATAAAGTTGTGGGGTCATTTTAGTGGTTGTTTAGTGCTTCTTTACTTTCAGTGATTTCCTAGCTAATGTTCATATATAGTATAAACTAATGGAAAATAATACGAAAATTATGCAACGAATATATACGTCAGGTTTTGCATTTTCCCGTCGTTGTTATTAAGTATCGCATTAGACCTCACTGCCAATCACTTCAAACGCTACTAATTCCAAATGGCCATTAACTACTTCAACGAGTTTAAAGTAATTTGCATGTGTTTATATTTTCTGCTTGTTGACATTGACAACTGTAATTTATCAGACACTTTTAGTATAAGGGCGGGTACATCAACCTGATGAATCTTCAATAGAGAGAAACACAAATCCTGAATAACAATGCTAGTCCAAACCTAACTCTATTAAAACATACAGGTATATATCTGTTAGTTAATCATTTTTTCCATTTTTTTAATTTACAGTTGCACATGCCAAATTAAATGATCTTATTCAATCACAATGGGAATCCTACAAAAAAATGGAAAATACTTATAAACTACTAGAAATTCAACGTGATCTAATTGGATTTAATCCAGACATTATTTCATCCTCAGATTTATCTCAGTATTCACATTTACAAAACGAAAGAAATAATTGTAATAATAACAGTAATAATGATAATAAACAAAACCATAATTCAACATCAACACCAACAATCTGTGGTTCATATTCACTAGGACCAATTTATCATCCTAATAGACAATTTATTCGTGAAGGTTGGCTTCAGAAATTGTCGAAAAAAGGCTATCAACCAAGAATGTTTTTTCTATTATCTGATCAATTAATTTATGCTAGTCGAACAATGACATCTTATCTACAATTTAAAGTAAATTAATTAATTTTTCAACCCAATTTTAATTATTATTGCAAAACGAATTACTGATACACATTTGATAAGCAATTTGTTGTGTCGGTGAGAGGGAATAGTGATTATTTGTTTTCCTAGGCAGATTGGTATATAGGTATCGTTACCAAGGTTTGACTTGATAATTTCGAATAAACTGAGCATTGAGTAGATTTTTATAAATAAATAATATATTTGTAATATCCTGATGAGTAGAAAAATTAGATTTTCTGACGTTTTGTGACTCAGTGTAAGCCACTTTTTCAGAGTAGTGGCTTACACTGAGTCACAAAACGTCAGATTGTTATATATTTCATTGAAATCATGAACATATCAATGTAATATCAGTGTAACAACCCGCCACATCCGACTCAGAGATATACATACCTCCTAAATCCTTACTCAACCACGTATGTGAGTGAGAAGATTGGAGAATAACAACTAAGCTTTAATTAGTAAAATCGAATCAATAGGCACACAGATCATCAGTATGCATACATTTGTTCTTCTAGCTCAGGCATGTAGGCTGAAACTTTATCTAAGAACGCAGTTGATTTCCTACAACAGTATATCTCACCCACCCTTTGACCTGGAGATTATAGTACATGAACACAGGCACTCATATCCCTACACTCCTCCTAACACACTAGTCAGTTACTCCACGAGCAGCTCAGTAACATCTCTGGCTGTAACACCTGATGGTGTTTGTTCAGATCCCATGTTACTCAGGCTTCAATTATCCCAATGATTGCAGGCGTTCCATTGTTAGTAAAATAACAACACCATTCCTGAGAAAATTAAAGGAATCACAACCAAGCAATTTGTAGTCATTTAACAAGTATAATTTCAGGTATTTGGTTATTAGTCATAAATTTTCCGTGAAGATTATTGACACTACTAGCCAGTTGATCAAAAGAAAATCATTAAATTAGCGTTGGAATCTACGTTTTAATTGTTGACAATTAAGTGTTTTAACCACTAAACAACTTTTTAAAATTCAGTTCACTTAGGTTCATGGGACCGGGATAATTTCTCTAGCCTTTAAATTAAAGTTTAGTTCAGATGGGGAGTATATAAGCCTATAATGGCTTACTCGCATTATATAAAAATTAAATAATTAAAGCTTTACAAAGAATCTTTTATTTGCATTAGATAAAAGGAAACGAAAACAAATTGAAAAAAAGGAATAAAATAATTCACTTGTTCTTCTAATTTAATTAAACATGCTCCATATGTAACCGTCTGAGTTTTTCTTGTTGATGATGATATTAAGACTGCATTCGCTTAGTCTCAGTAGCTATTTATGTATCCTGAGCGAATTGTTTAAGTTTTAATGAAGCTGGATTTCAAAGTGAACATCAACACTAAAATGTAGATACGTCCAAAAGACAAGTCCTGAATGAGAGGAGATGTATATCTTGTACTTCACTATTTAATTTTACTCAGAAACACGTGATAGTGTCAAAGCAATCTTATTAGGATGCACATATACCAATAGAGACTGAACAAATATAATCTTAAATATCATGATAAATGAGAAGATTCAAATGCTAACAAATAAAATTATATTTCTTAATTAATGGGGAAATGTTTAAAATTTGTATTATTATTGTTACTTTATAGAATACTCAAATTTAGAGATTATTCTTAACTATTGAGTATTTTCAATGAACATATCAAAATAAAGTACTTTCATCAAATACTCCACTCCGCATATCAGTTTTCTCATTCAATATTCATAAAATAACACTAAAATATATTTATCTACTAATCTGTTTTATCTCAAAAAGAATTGTCTGTATTGAGTTAAAGTTTTTGAGATATTCAATATACATTTAGGTAAGTATTCCTTGATCATTGTATAAAATCACTTAAGATATTATCAATTTTCACTTAAATATAAACAACTGGGTGATTGATTGGCTAATGATACAGTATCGACTAGTTTCAGCAACCGAAATACCTTAGGCGAAACTTACCATCATCTACACTTGGATTCCAATTATATATAAAATTCACTATAATCAAGTCGCTCTGTCAGTAATTTATAACAGTTTCTTTATGAATATCAAAATATGAGCATGAATATATTAATTGGTTTAAATTAACTCATTACCAATGAATATTAATTATTAAATTAAACATTTATGGATATCCTGGTAATAAGTAATTGGTCATATTAATAATTATCTATAATGTATTTGTGTGCAGTTGCACACTAGTAGAAAATTGAATCATGAACATGGTCTTTATTATCCTATTTCAGGTTCACGGTCAATTCTCATTACAAGATTTAATGGTTGAAGAAGTGGAACCTGCACATAGCTTCACTATTTATTCAGGTAATCGATGTTTCTTGTAGCTGCTTCATCAGATTGGCAGCGTGATCGATGGCTTGAAGATATATCGAGAGCTATTTTAGCAGCTAAAACTAGACCATCATCATCGACATCAATTATGAGTGATTCAATCGTCAATAATATGGAAAATAACATTGGAACTTCTATCAAAACATTAAATTGTAGTAAGTTTACAAACTACTCTTGTTGTTTATTCGATGAGGTTTTATGGTAAGTTGTTTTAATTTGTAGGTAATACTCATCACCGATGGCATTTCCCACTTTCAACAATTCACTAGTGAGCTTGCACTTGATACTCTACTTAAATTAGTGTAATCAACCGAACAGTGTCACTAATCGTTATTCAGAAACACATACACACACATAGACACAAAAAGTATGGCTCAAAGCCGAGTATAATCAATCTGTACTTGTATAGGAGTTGCATTTACTACTGAATCTTTTGAATCAACCACTAGTCGGTATAATCCTTAGATTATTGATTTTTGAACTTTTTTCTATGAATGAAGTTTTTCCATTCAACCTCAAACATTAACCGTATTTAAGTTGTTTGGTTTTGTTTCATACAAATTATTCAGACGTAGTGTAATTCGACCTTATTGGTAGACAAGAAGTAAAATGATGTATAGATGGAAGGTTTGTGGGCAGGTTGTTCAGTTGAATGACGCATACTTTACATTTACTGACTTATTTTAGCCAAATAACCTGTGAATAGTTAGTTGTTGTGTTCCTAAGTACATAGATTTTCTTAGCAATCCTCACCACTACATAAATAATTATCTCTTGAAAAAGTATTTTAATTAACGAAGAAAATCAACCCATTCGAAATGATAGAAAGTGATGTATTATTTATTGCTAATATCTTATCATGTATTGTTTCTAGTCTATTCTAGTTGCTGTGACAAAGAAATAAATATAATCATATGTAGAATTAGCATAAATGGTATTGTAAATAATGAAATAATCGAATAGATAAAAATAGAAATAGACAATTCAGACAGAATTAGTCTGGTTTGTTGTGAGAATATCAAGAGCACTAATAAGAAAACAGGAGGAACTGGACAGCAGTTATATCCTAATATAAGATTCCTCAGAAGCCTTCATTCACGACCCCATCAAGGATCGAACCCAGGACCTTCAAGCCTCGTGGTGAGTGCTTGTTTGTCTATACCACTGTGTCACCACCAAATGGTTTACATTTCTAACTCCAGTCAGCTACGCAACCATATTCCAGTTTCATTGGTAACTGCCCAAAATTCAACATGGTTGAACTCTGCTGATCTTGACTTTATATCGCTGAGGATTCTCATACTAGGATAATTAAGTGTCCAGTGCTCCCCAGTTTCCAATGCTTGCCTAAAGTCGACCAATGATGTAAATTATAAAATTCAACAATCTCCATAAGAACCGTATACTAATACTAAGAAACAATTATATAATCTAAATAAGAGGATTGCGATGATCTCATCTTTTAATTTGGTTTTAATCATCACAAACTAACATCAGTTTGAGAACTATTGGGATCCGAAGAGAGTTGGGTAGTTGTTTCCCACTCTTTGTGGTGTTCCTAATAGTTTACTGCCCATAACATCGTATTCGACTAAATATAACATATTGTAGAGTTTTGTGGTAAACAGAATACTTCTATATCACTGAGTTGAAATCTAAGTTCGTGGATTCAACCCTTAACATTGGGTCATGGAATACACCGTTAATGAATTAGATATTAGAACAAAGTAGACTTTTAGTTGTTATCTAGCTTTTAATCGTTGTCTATTTATATTCATACAATAGTGTAAACCTTAAATGATGAACCACATAGCTTAGTAATCTACATATAACATTATTTGTTACTGACTAGACTAAATATACATTGATATTTTTAATAAATAAAATTAATTTGTGAAAAAAGAATGAGTCATCTGAAGGCATAATAGAATATAATAAGACCGATACGTTATACAACCAATCGAAAGCGATCAAAGTTCATCTCATCATACATCTCTCACCGTTTTTCCCTATTCTTACTAAATCTTTATTATTATTTTTTCTTTGTTATCGTTTAAAAATGATTAAGATCAAATTGGCTTTCTTTTTCTTCTCAGTTCGGTTAGTTCTTATAGTTACTAGGATTTGTATGTTTGTTATGAACACATTTATGTGTAATTATATTATGTGTATACCCATGTATACATATGATCTTTTCCGAACTCATTCAACAGTCTCATCAACCTTCACAATTTAAAGTAGTTTCGAAGTGAATTTACACGTCAGATTGATATATATCCTATATTGGTTTAGAAGATATACATCGTATTGTATAGATATGCTCATTCACATGTTCGTATGCTTGTATATATTCCTGATTATTTATTGGTCAATCAACTACATGTCCAAATAATATTTAAAAATAAAAACAACATACAGTTTAAATTAAGCAATAAAACTATACAATTGAGACTGAAATGATAATCCATTATTGAATCGATTTGTATTTGAACTAAAATTTGGACATGGTAATTGAGATTTTGTTTAAATTAATTGTGAATACACAACAAGAGAGTAAGTAGTAAAGGGTGTTTAAAAATGTTTTATTTAAAAGAAAAACAATAAACCATACATATTCATGTATATCATTAAACAATATTCATTATGTCCTGCATCGGTTTGGGCACCCGGGCAGTATCCAGCCGTCACACAAATCAAATGATTTATGTGGTGCATATCTATTTGATGCCTCCTTATACCAATGTTTATGCGTTTAAATAAATAAAATAATAATGCATTATGTATAATACATGAATATTCATATAATCAAACTATTTGTATGGAGAGAATCGAAAGAACAATGATTATGATTTTCTGCTTTTTAACATTTTATAAATTCGTGTCTTATCTGTCAGTCAAATATAGTAATATATAGATAAAATATTTTGGTAATCTACCGTAATAGTAATAATAGTAATAAATTTACTTAGTATTTGCAGCTGTACACAAACTTGCTTCATTATTATTGCATCATCAAGTTTATTTGTTAAAGGATTTGAACTTTAAAATTCTATGTTGTCAAGATGAATATCATAAAGTTTACTTTAGTAATGGAGTATACAAAAAGGGTCATCTACTATTACAATAAAATAATGTCATTAACATATCAATTGAATAAATATAATAAGTAAAAAGTGATTATCTAAAGAACTTCCACACTAATATAAATGTGAGTGAATGACAAATAATTAATATCAACCGTTGAGATCGTGAGTCAATTGAAGTTAGACCACCAACCTGGAAGCACTAGACGGCCGTTTCGTCCTGTTGTGAGACTCCTCAGCAGTGCGCACCCACCTTCAGAAGAAGAAAAATGAATAATGACAAAACTTAGAGATGTATGGAATATTGTATAGGTCATGCTGTTATACAAAGTATGAAGTTGTAACAAAACACTCAACAGAACATAATTATGTTCCAGTTAAAGTTTTAGGTAAATGCAAAACAAGCAGTCAGTAAAATATAAGATCAAGCAGCTTCATCAACAGAAGTGACACAAACTGTAGCTACGGTATCTACCCATTTATGTACAGTACTGACTGCCACCTGTGATTTGAATGAAGAAAATATTAATCTATTCATTTGATTTAATTTATTCCTATGAATATTCTTATCTTCTACAGACACTTTTGAAAGTGACTCCATACAAATGTTACAACGAGCTGTAACAAGTGTTCATGTTTGTTGGCATAGGTGTTTCACACTTTCAATGCAAGATATACTACGTGCTAATGAAGTAAGTTGAATTTTTTCTGCTTTATAGTATTAAATTTCATTTATAATACGAGAATATAAATCATTTTTACTTTGAAATGTACTTGTATTAAAACTTTCTCAAACTTTATTAGCTTTCTCACTAACCATCTGTTGTGAATATACCTTATTTATTGTAATAGTGAGTCAATATTTAAATAACACTAGACTTTCACATTGCAGTTTCGAATTCTATTCCAACTAGTTCACTTTGGGCAACTGGGTAGTATTACTAACTTTCATACAAATATTGCAGTTTAAAATTGAACTCATAAATATGTAATCGGTAGATGAATTACATCATTTATTCTTATTTAAAGGTTTTATTCAGAAATGAATGGATACCAGTTAAAGAACTAGCTTCAAAAAGCGTCCTCTTTATTGTACTGAAAAGATATAATTAATTGGGTTTGACCATCTATAAAATGATACAAATACCGCTGATATCACTGAACGATCATTACACTGCAGAGTGGATTGGTTAAAGTCGTAATTGGGAATCCACAGGAACTCACTAACGACATTGAATATGACACCTAAACATTATCATAAGTCAACTAAAGATGGATAATTTGAATTAATAAATTCAGCACCAATGATCTAAATGGTAGCAACGTGTTCACCACGAAATATGAAGACTCGATTCCAGTCCCTAACGTGGTTATAGATATCGATATTACTGTTGAAGAATACCACTGATACCGTTACTATCTATACTATTCCGAGATTTGGCCTGACAATTTCATCTCCCTGTGCTAAATTGAACCTTTACCTGTCTATTTTATCTATGTCCTCGACATACATCCCTAGAATTGAGGCAAAATACTTTGAGGTTAGCTTATTTAACAGAGATTCAAATATATTGAGATTTTACTTTCTTATTGGTCTTCAAGATTTAAATGGATACCTATGATGAATGTTTCAAGGGAAAATAGTTTACACCATTTCATAGAGACATTTTTCCTCACATTAATCTTTATATCATTTACCAGACTAAGGACAAACGAAACTGATGTGTTTTCTTATCAAAAGGCATCGCAATCATTATTTAAATAACGTATTGGCCTCTGCAACAGACAAAGCAGTTTAGTGTCGATGGCTAAACAGTTTGATATTGGTTAACATTAATGTCAGTTTCAACACCGATATTCCAGCGTTAAGGTTTATGACCACAACATTAGGTAAAGTGGCGTCAGCTACCCTACGACCGTGGGTACGCCATGGTGATTAATACCAACCGAAAAACAATCTAAACCTCACCTCCTGACCTACAGTTCCCAACCATCTGAAGTTGTTTTTTCCCGTAAATGTGAAGTATCTATCTTACACACGAAGTAGTCGCACACTCGTTTACCGATGAACAGTTTCCAGCGGGAAGAATTATAATTCGTTTAAAAATAAACCCGAAATTCAGTGAAGAAATCTGTTATCAACGAATCTACTATCAAGATATACAACCGGACATATGTATATGGAATTGAAGGATCAATTACGCGAGGATTTATGAATAAACATGTAATAGATTATCTGTAAATGCAATTGTACGGGTTGCTAACAAATTCATTGGGATGGGTGAATTGTCTATTGTACAGCACAAAATGTTTGGTTCACTGTGATTAAAGAGCAGGAATGCGTGTTGTTAAAATGCGATACACCAGATCTAAACCGAAATCCTACACATGCTATCCATGAGGAACGATCGATAACTTGAATATAAAGAATCGTGAGGAACATTCCGGGCTAGTGCTGGTTGAGTAATTTAATTTATCTTAAGGTTGATTTTTAAACAGTTTCACGAGAACATAGGAAGTAAATCTGCTCATTCAGCTGCCCATAAATCATTAAGTTAAACAATTATTACTCTTCATTTTAGTACCAAACTAGTGGATATCTATTGAGAAAATTTAAGAACAGCAATGGTTGGCAACGACTCTGGGTGGTTTTTACTCAATTATGCCTTTTCTTTTATAAAAGTTATCGTGATGAATGTCCATTGGCTAGTCTACCACTGCTGGGTTATACCATAAGTAGACCTGGACCTGAAGATCAAATTCGACGAGATAATGTGCTCAAAATGCAATTCAAAAATCACGTGTACTTTTTCCGCGGAGAAACACGCCATTCATTCGAAAGGTAAGCTTAATTCGAACATCACAAATTACTTGATTACTGAGATAGGAAACGTTTTGCACTTTGTAATACCATATCTTACGTATTAGATATGTTTACTATTGAGATTAAAGGTGTGGAGACGGTTAACATAGACTTTTTTAAATAAATTCTTGTTGTTATATACACTTCATCATTCCATTATTTACAGTGTTATTGACTACAAAATTGTCCTTTAAATTTAGCCTTAAACTTCTTTAATAAACTTCCTCCGTTTGCATGACACATTGATGGTTGTTCTTAAGATACACCACTCACTATACCACTTTGTTTTCACAGAACCAGCCGCTACACTGAAATACCGCGCCTGGCAGTTATCAGGTGAACGTCCGAATCTAACCTGTATACTTATATTTTGTATATCATTAACTGACTCTACACATTAATATTCAATAAACTCTGCTACTACTTTTGGTCTGCCCCAGTTTTCGTTTTGTTTAATGTTATTGTTTTGGAGAAAGGGAATCCCTTTACAAGCATTATTGGTTCCCATGTTACCTGTAGGTGAAGACGTTACACATATACGCGGATAATAATAATAATAACAATAATAATAAGTATATCGACGTATATGATGGTATAACAGTATGATAACACAAAACAAAAACACTGATTCACTAAATAACTGGGCAGACCAAAACTGTAAATAACAAAAGTAGAAGTGGAGTTATTGGCTAGTTATGTCTAGAATCGATAAATGATATACGGAATATCAGTTCGAACGTCGCTTGACAAGTGTTAGGTACGGCATGTTCGACCAGTCACTAAATTCACAACTATAACGCGTAATCAATAACTCCAAAATATAGCATATAATTCAAATATATTATAAGTAATTCGGTGATGAAAAAAGCGTGATCTGTAAATGTTTACAATAATTATATAAATTATTTGTCAATATGACCGCTGATTCTATGAGAATAAAGTTTGGTATAGCGGTGTATATTGAAAACAGCAATCAGTGTGTTATGCAAACAGAAAGAGTTTATTAAGGAAGTTTAAGGTTAAATTTAAACGACGATTTCGTAGTCAATAACAATGATTGTACAAAGTGGAATGTTGAAGTGTATATAACAACAAAAATTATTAATGCAATAAGTCTATGTTAACCATCTCCACAAATGTATAAGAAGCAGACTGTACACTAACACTACAATAACTCAATATAACAATGTTTCTGCACGGTAGGAGGCATATGGTTAGGTATTGCTAGCAAAGTATAACACCTCAATTAAACTACTTTGATATTTTCCCTCCAAAATGTTCGTAATAACAATGATACATACGTTGACTTCAGTCGAGTTCTATGTAGAGCCGTCTAGAATAATGGAATAACAACCACCATGCACATGAAAGTAAAGAATGAATATCGAAATAAATAGATGACAACTTAGTTCATATGTTTTACAGTTTGTACTACAGGAAATTTAAGAACAGTTTTATAAAATAATAAATCAAGTCATCCGTAAAGTAAGCAGGCGCAATCAAATACATCAGGGGCGACTAGATAAATCTTGTCTTTACTTCGAATTAATATAGATTTTGAAGAATCTGCATAAAAAATACGCGTTTTCCATGGGATCAACTCTGGACCTTATACAGAGTACAAGATTTAGGTCTATACACTGAAGATGTCTAAGTAATCTTTGACGGAATTACTAAAAATACCTGATTGATTGGTATTCCAACATGTATGGTGAGAAAAAACCACTCTATGAATATAGTATGGCCATGAAGTATTATGAGACAATGATTGCAGCTACAATAAGAGGAAAGTAAAAAGTATAAAAGCCGACTGGTAATGTTTTGTTTACGTCAATAATATTCAGGAAAATTGTAGATTTACCTAACAATCTTAATATTAAGCCTAATTTTTATTGTTGTAACTGTCTTATTTTGCAGATGGGTTGAGTATCTTAGTTGTGCAGCTGGTGCCAGTAGACCATTAAATACATCATCAACCATTAAATAACAAAATATTCAAACCTTAACTAATAACTTAATGTCGGCTTATTCAGTCTTGAATAATACGACAAATCGAAATGAAGGAAAAACAAATATCATAATCTCAGTTCTTTTGTGTGTGCGTGTTTGTGTACAGAAAAAAGAAACGATGTTTGTGAAGTTATTTTTTACAAAATTCATAAATCCACATTAAAAACTTTGGTCTTGTTTTATTTGATTTCTAATAGAAAAAAGAAAACAAAAGATGAATAATAATCTTATTTTTTAAGAAAAATGCATATCTTTTGTACGTGTTGTTTTGATCTTGTGACAAGCAGGATGAACATTACATAACTGAGAGATGAATTATAGTATGAAGTAATGGTAAACATAGTTGGTAACAATAACTAATAATAATGTGATTTATATATTACTAAATGGATTGAACAATAAATAAATTGTAAGGTTGTGTTTTCTTTAAATGAAATGAAGTTGTCACATCAATACCAACAACTATAGTGACAAAATAGTATTAGTAGTAGAGACAAGAAATAAGTCATAAAGGCAAATATTTTGAAAATGTATTGAATAATAATCTGAGATTGATTCAATCCTTTCAATCTTTGGTGTAGTCATCTGCAAAAAATATGAGAAAATTTAATACAAAATTAAATACTATATATATATATATACAAAAGAATGGTGTGATATATTGTTAAACTGGAGCTGTAAGAAATGAGTGTGCGAGAAATTAACACTTTCAAGATGCTTGCAAAGTGGAAATAGAAATGTAATCATATAGCCCAGGGGACGACGACTGCTTGAACCCGGTCACATAATTTCTGTGAGTCATTATTTTTTAGCATTAGCTTCATACCGCTTCACATTCAGTAATCATCATCAAGCAAAGGAGAACATGCTGAACCAATGCCTCATAACTCTTCATTTGTTGAAAGGTAGTATCAACTGGTAGGAAGTGATCTACCGCAGTCGAATACTGGTGAAATTGAAAATATGACCTTATTGTTCGGATTTTAAACTTGTCGACTTGACATCAACCAGTTAACATGCCTTGAGTAAACTAAGCGCTAAATACTGCGACCAATAGAGCTGTGTTATCACGATAAGGGCATTTACTGAACCAAGAAAACAGCTTAAGGTAGTTCAGCTACGAATCGTAACTATGTGAAACAGCTACGGTTGACACTTGCGAAATTCAAAATATAAAGATGAACAATGACACTTGGACGGGGAATTGGGCCCTTATGTTGTTAGCCAGGACAAGCAAGTTACTATGACCTTAATTTTGGAACTGTTCACATCTAACCAGTTAGTAATATAATGTGGTTATCTTCATTCGACTTAGTTAATTACATTTTCACATCAGAACCCTTCCAAACTTTTTGTTAAACTGATGAAGTTTTAAGGACTCGCAATCGTATAGTCAACCGACACTTAGTAAAAGTATACTTAACAAAGTTAATAGTTAGAGGTTGTAGTATATGTCTATGCACAGACGAAAATTTCATGAACCAATTACAAAATGAATGCAAACGATTTAGACTATTATTCAGTCAAAAACAAAATATTTACAGCCTTCTTTATGAATTGTGCTCAGAAAACTGTTTTAAGATTACAAAAATATACATAACAGTGGGTGAATCAAAGATGAAATTTATGTGAAATCCGCAAATGCAATCACAGTATTCCTCATTTCAGCTGTTAACATACTCAGAGGTTGTATAAATTTTAACCTGATAGTTAAAATTCATTAAGTTGAAATATTAAGTTATATGCACTGAATACCTACACTTTATAATAATTGGTCTTTATCAATAACATTTTTACAATCAAATGATAATGACTACAACAACAAAAAAGACCTTGAAAGTTACCTGCAGTAGCAAAAAGTGCTCGACAGTCAAAAAGTGATGCTAACTCAGTAATCAGTTTGTGCAATACACGACAATCAATTAATTCGGATCCTGGAAGTGAAGGGGAACACGACGGATAAAAAGATGGTCCATGAAAACTTCGATGAAGTTGTAGAACAATATTACAGAAACAATATCGTAGTATTATTATTCGAAGGAAATCATCCGAAAGAAACTGTTGATAAGAATAATCTACAAATAGGTTTAAAAATATCGAAAAAAAGAATACATACAATAATGAATAAGAAACGTTTCAAATTATGTCATTATTAGAATGAAAGACACGATTAGTGTTAGCGATACGTCATAAACAGATATATAAGATAATTATAACCATTAGAATGATATAGAGGCCACGTAAACGTTTGAGTATTGTTCAGTGAAGTACAAATACTGCATTCCACATAGGGTAAATAAGAACTTTACGTTAATTATCAGTGCTGTTAAATGTTAGTGTTCTTTTGACATTCGAAACCTATGGTATTCAGGATACTTGTATGAAGAAAATAGATTTCAATACAAATAGTGATTTTTACCAGTTATGATGAGGATAAATATTCCTAAATATCATGCGGTATATTTAAGCAGCCTATAAGATTAGTGATATAATCAAAAATCCCAAGCGATTCCAGTCGAATGAGTATTTTAAAAGATTTACGTGAATTTACCACGGATTAATGCAGTGAAGGAATTTTGATGATCAAAACAGTTGTGGGAATCAATTCCCCTCCCCATTAGAATACTGAAGCGAAACTTGAATTTCAAAGGTGATATAGCAACATGATTAAAAAAACCAGGTGACACATATAAGTGGATAAAAGTGCATACCTAAGCTTCGTGAACGCATCAGAACTTGATAGCATTCAGTGAGGAAAGAATCTATAATACTTTGTGCTCGATCCCATGTTTTTAGGGTAATTTTAGTTAAATTACACGTTAGACAAAATGCAGTTAAGGGACAATGTAAGAATAATGTGAACAGATTTCCTCGGTGTCGTTGACTTTCCAATTTTTCCGGGATAACTTTAGGTGAGAGAAGACATACAAATGGTTGTCCAAAGAGATTAGGAATATTCTAGAGAAAAAGTGAACAAAAACATTAAAACACAAAAGTTTATGGTGGGTAATTTATAAATAAGTTTATTTATCCAAGTTTGACTAACATAACAGAGTTCATAAGAACGGCAATTACATGACACCCAACTATATTACACTGTGAAGCACTAAATAGGACTATGTAAGGTAAGCGAATACATTCACAAAGGTCTATTTGAAGCACATCATACATACCCACCGCTTTCGTGAGCTACTTACTTACACTTGTTACTCCTCGTGGAGGATCATAGGCCGCCCACCAGCCGTCGTGACAGCATGTTACAATTTTATTAAATAAACTTAGTTGTTAGTTTCGAAACCCTTGTACTTAACCTAGTAAAACTATAGAGATCCGACATAAATCCATATTTAATGACCAGATGGTTAAGTGAGATTGTTTCAAATGTCGTTCTTAAGGTTTATTTGAAAGACAATCACAACTGACTTTGATTTTCTTTAAAATTGGGTAACGTTACAAAATACTGAATGATCTAACAGCTATGTATGCCATACAATGGCTGTACTTTTTAGATTTGTATGTCCAGTAAGTGTTCACTAATCACATGGTGATTTCAACAACTTACTGTAACAGTGATGGGAACGAAGTGAATTTAACGATTGAAACAATACTAATATTGTGTTCAATACAGTACAGTAGTGAGTAACAATGGTGAAAGGCTGCTCTCACTGGTACTGACAATCACACCAGATAAGAAAAAATAACCTGATTTATATGGGTTTTAAAGTTACTTGTTTTCAGAAGAAAAAATCTGTCCATCAGTTATAATTAATCAGTTGAAGTGCTAAAAGTAGTACTATTGACCCCATATCTCTCTACCATACATCAATAAAAATGAACATGTAAAAGAAAAAACTTCTTACTCGAAATGTTGCACTATTATCACTGTCAACAATAACAAACAGAGGTCTACGTGTGTAGGGTAGGAGATCACCAGGATGGATGCTGCATATGGGGAAATAAAAACAAATGAATGAAGTTTTTTACCAAACAAAATCCAGTTCATTTTAAACCAAGCGTTGATTATAAACAAATTGTTATCATGTATTCATGGGACTTATTCCACCAGTTTAATAAGAAACAAAGTCACACTTGCAATACATAATTGAACAACTTTATTCAATCCATGATCTTGCACAACCCTTCATTTATTGCATGAAGTGGATAACTGTCTCACACCGCACACAGATCGGACTTCACTAGTTACGGCTTCTCACTAGAACCCTATGAGTTTTATATTGAAGCTAGTCACCAGTGAGCACATGATTGTTATCAGTATGGGGATTCGTAAAGATTGTAGTATTTTCACAGTTGAAATCACGAGTCGATCTAAGCTAGACCACTAGTGAAAAGCTGAAAACACACCACGGCCGTTTCTTCCTAGTTTGGGACTTCTCAGCAGTGGGCTCAGTGATCTCGAGATTAAGCGATCACGCGGGATTGTGGATGCGCACTGCTGAGGAGTTCCATACTCGAACGAAACAACTGTGATGTGCTTTTAGGTTCTCACTGGTGATCTAGCTTAGGCCGGCTCGTGATTTCAGCTGTGGAAATACTACAATCTCTACGAATCCCCATACTGATAACATAATTGAATAATCCAAAACACAAAAGTGTTTGACATATATGAATAGGTAAATACAGTTAACAAGCAATGTGGGATATTATCATACTATTTACAGTCAAGCTACTTATTGTCTTTCTACACATCACAGCAAGAGAAATTATAATGACAAAACAGTGATGGCGAACTAGGAGAGTAAGAATAAAGGCAGAAAAAATAAGTTAAAATGAATTAAAAGACTGTATACATATAAAAAAAAATTAAGAGAGATAAGAAAAAAGCATGGATGTGATCAATTCTCAACAAATTTTACCTAAATCATTTTAATTAATATATTTCACAGTCTTGTGAGAATATACACCTAGATGTTTATACATTTAAACAACGCCAACAGATTGCATGTTCAAATTCCGCAATTCAGCTAATTTGTTTAAAACAGTTGAACAGTATCAATAACGTTCATACAAAAAGTGAGTCTCAAAACTGAATATATGTAACCTGAACTTAATAAATGAATCATATTGCATAAGATAAATGTTAGTCAAAAATCAGTTAATATAAAATACTTTTAATTCTTGAATATCAGATCAAATTACAGTCGAATTACAATCCAAATAAACAAACGTTATCGAATTTTATACATATGCTGGTTTAATTGACAGTAAAATGTGGAGTTGTATATTAATTTAAATAATTAAGTATTAAGTAAGTGTTTCCTTTTTTAACTATCCGTTGACTTCACTACCAATTAACTCTGAACGTTATTATGACCACCGAGTAATAGGTACTACCATTTACCGCACTGTTTTCATAGTAGTCATGCAGATCAGTATTCAGTAAAATGACTGAACTGTCCAGCATGTAATTAATTAACAAAATCATATGATACTAACATTTTAATGAATTTGAAATGAAGTATGCTCTTCAGCGTTAATAAACTGATATCCAGCTACATAGGACTATTGATTGAAAATTTGTTCTATTATCCTACTTTTTTAACAAGTTAAGGTATCACATTCATATTTGAAGTACTATATAGTCTTGCAGTTCAACTTATTATAGGATTATTTGAATAAGAAAAATTACACTACTAAAATATAATAATTTACAGGCTGAAATGTAAATAATGGGGAGAAATAATCCAGAAAACTTTACCAGTGAGGTTCTTTGAAATCTAGTCTTTTTGGCTTAACGCTGTATTCTTGTTCATGTCGGTTGTTTGTAACAACTCCTCCATAATCGTAACCAGCCGCTCCTACATTCACTGTATGCAAAATATAAAAAGAAATCTAGTTATGCGCAAAATTCTCGAGAAAACACACACATGCACTAAAAAAAATGCTTAGTGTGACTAATGTAGTCATCACTCATTATAAAAATATAACATAAGCTGGTCAAGAATAACTAATCGATTGTGTATCCATGCCTTAACTGCTAATATATGATTAACGTTAATCCCCATAGTAACTGAAACGAATTATGTTCATGTTTTTCACCATAGCAACAGACACTATTTCCAGATTAAACTAAAGCCAATACGCAGAGTACACTACATGACCTTAGTCATTTGGTTGCCACCTTGGTGACTAATACACAATAAGGGCATAGTAACAAGTCGATTTGAACAAAATACAAAACACCACATCACATCATACCACGATAGACAGTTAGGCCAATGACTAGTTCAGTTTACAACGAAAAAAAAGAAAGAACAAGCTGATAAATAAGATTTTTACTTATCAAGACCATTTTGAGAAAAGATTCCAAAAACATTAATGCACATTGATTTGAGAAATAAAATACAGTGGAACAAAATACACTTAATAGAAAGATGCATACAGTTCAACAAAAAGTTTGTTGATAAACATTATTTTACACACATACACACAACATTGACTTATACCTTAATAGCCACCCACAAAAAAGTAATTTTCACAAAAGTGAATTTTGTATAGATATTCCAATTTAAGTAACTACGAGATAATTCTGACCTCATATACCATACACAATAATCATTCAATATATTACAAGTAATCGAAATTGTTACATTTCAACAGAACAATCAGTAAATGATGAATGTTCATAGTACAGATTGAAAGAAATGTTATTTTTAAATTGTAGTTAACTAGTTAGTAATCAGAATATAAATACTAGGGTCAAGGTCATTCGTGATGAATTTCAGTAGATTACACCGGGAAATTGCACTTCAACTACAAAGTAACTTTGATGTATCTATTCGACAATGAATAATGTACGATAATACATTTAGTACAGCATAGTTACTTAAAGCAGAAAGTTTTATCACAGACTAACAGTAACAGCTGACTGTGATAAAAATCTCAATAAAACTCACTAAACACTATTTAAATGAAGTTCACTTTATGGATGGTATATCAGCGAATAAATTAATTTATTCAATTGAATATTGTCAAAGTGTTTAAGCACATCAGTAAATTTCGTCATTCAGTACTAATGTATAAATGTAATTGTTCACAAATCCTTTCAATGCAACTTAAAGAGTGTAATATAAGCTAAAATAGGATCGAAAATTAACATAACTTAGAATGTATCAACTGAATGTAGAATGAATTGTCATTAATAAGCCTTGCAAACATAAATTAACTGAATAACGAAATTTAGAAAACCTAATAGATTTTACACAATTTGGAGTGAAATACATTAGTCTATTTTCAAAATGACCCAAACAGTAAAACAAACGATATACTTTAATGGTTAAATGAAATTCTACATTTTAGTAAATATTATGCTCAACAGTTATAATACTAATTTGTTTACGAAAATGTGAGGACGAAAAGTGAATGTCCGGCACTTTAACCGGATTCCAAACCAATGGTGCACATGGGCTCCTGTATCCTGCGAGAACAAATGGCGTATGAACCAATTGTTGGTCACCGGCTTCCATGGGACTGCATCTCCTTACGATGCTCCACTGCCTTGTGGATCAGACCCTCAGGTCGAAGGCTCGGGGTGTGGCCCCTTAAGGAAACCACCTGCTTCGGTTTGGGCACCCGGGCAGTATCACAGCCCTCACACATATCGAATGAGATTTGTGTGGCGCATATATATTTGGTGCCTCTTTGTACCAATATCTATGTGTTGAAATAAATAAATAAATAATAAACTAATTTGCATGTATTTTTGAGCAGTAAACAAAAATACATGTAAGTATAAGTAGTAACCCATCTGCCTACTTGACACATTTATTTCATAGGGAGTATCAGTACCTTTAAAATTACAGATACATTTTGTTAAAGAGCGACAGCTTTTATGGACAATTATAAATTAGTAATGTACTACTACTAAGTTTCTGATGTTATACGGATACTAAAAAAATGTAAACCTCAAAATCATGCTCATAGTATTATGGTAAAGTTTACTGCATAAAAAAGTAAACAATGAAAAATCTATCAATAAATCATAAATTCTTACATTCATTGTTGGTTTTTGCAGTGGGAGCCCGAACACCATCCGCTGATATGTATAATAATAGTGCACCGGAAGCAGGAAGGTCTTTGAATGCCGTAGCAACATATGAGTTGAACTGTGAAAATGTAGGTTTGTATAATAAATACTTATGAGGATTTGTCACTTCGGGCAAATCAAGAGGATAACTTGAAGAAACACCATTTTCCAAACCGTCTACTACATTAAGTCTAGAATTGCGACTGTTCAAAACCTGACCTCTAGGATCACGTTCGAATGTTTGCAGCATACGGTACATATCTAATGATAATTCACTAAATCGGATTTGATCGTAGCAATTCCCAATGATCAGTACTTCGGATAGCTGTAGATGACCCAATTCATGTCTGTCTATTTGTGGAGTATTCAAAGCGTTTAGTCGTTTTGATGTGTAAATTTGTGGTGTATCACAGTCAACAATTTCGCAGATTGAGTTGCCGTCCACGAAATCTTTCATTTCTTGTATCACCGTAACCCATCCCAAGTGATCATCAGCGTCATAAATATCGATATACTCATCAATTTGCTTAGAAAATTCCTAAATTTGACAGTTAAATTAAATAAATAACATACTCTTATTAATTCATTTGCCAATTTCATTTTCCCTAGAAGAAGACATACTAGTATAAAACGAGCGTAATAACGCAGTTTCTTAATCATCAGATCAGGTTTCTCCTCTTTATTGGCTTTGGAGTAATAATCCCGAGTTCGAATTGCTGAGAAGAAAGCGAACGATTCATTTAGGTAGTGAAGGTCACTAGTGCGTAAACTAGTAAAAATTAAAGTTCAGTAAGTTGTAAGAACTTACTAATAATGGTGGTATAACTGGCCAATTTTTGAGGCAACTTCACCGATTTGCCATCGTTTGAGTCCATACAGTTCGTCTAATTTTTGTCTATGTTGTTGTTGAAACTTCCATAACTTGGTGTACACATCGAACGTACGGCCAAAATAAACTTTCCACTGTCTATGACCATGTTGAGGCAAGTCACTATACAAAATTTAGGTTAAAAATATGAAAAGTTTTAAGGACCGTTCATTATATGCAGTTCGAAGTATTTACATTATTCCCTCATATGTAAATATCATGGACCTAGCAAGTACGAACATAGCATAACAAAAATAAATAAAAGGTCTTATGCTACAATAGTTCAGACTCATTGGGACTTACAGTGGGTACATCTATAAGAATGGGTTTCTATTTGAAAAGCAATAGTTAAAACACCTTTTATCGTCCATATTCATTGGCAGCATGAAAACTTGAATGACGAGTAATATCTTACGTTTTTCAACTAACTGGGGACTAAAGGGAAAATGAGAAATATATGTGCGCCAAACAGGATGTCAACCCGTATTAGGAAATATTACAATCCCATGAAAAGAGTACGACGCGTGTCATACTCCTGAGTAAAATGGACACCATGAGTTTACCATGTGAATGAATTACAATAATGTTGGAAAGTAACTAAAATTAATGAGAACATTATATAAAGTAATGTGACGAGGACATTTGTTGAGACAAAAATGGAGACTGTTACTACGTCCTGAAAACATGATCTCGTAGAGGGGAATTAAAGGAATTCATATACGCGTTAGATGCAGTCAGTCAGTCAGCTACAACGTAGGACCAGGCACATATATGCATCGGTCCAAGTTGCCATACCTCATTAACACAACAAGATGGACACCGGATTCATATAAGTGGTTAATTCAGAGGTGGTAATATATAGAAGAAAAATTGCAATAAGGATATAGTACAGGAAGAAAGAATTAGTTAGTAGAAAGATATGAAGCAATTTTAATCTCTTAGTTTAAGAGAAGACAGGGAGTGTATACACTGATGCCATTGTGACCGATCTGAGCCATGTCACCAAGAGTCTCCAACCATTGGTTACGATAGTCGCGCGGACCCCAACCAAGTAGTCTGCATCTACCAACATGGCTCAGACTATAAGTTAGTGACTTCAAGCACTGATGCCACGTTTTGGTTTGGCCGCCCCAACTTTCTTCCAACCATCCCAACACCGGTTAGCATTGACGTCGTGGTAATCGGTGTTCGGGCATACGTAACACGTGACCCAACCATCTCAGTCGATGAAGATTAACAAACTCATCAACTGATTTACCATAATTCCCTAATACCCTGCGTCTAACCTCCTATCACTTACCCGGTGATCCCAACAGACGCCAGCAATATTTCTAAGGCATCTGTGGTCAAATACTAGTAGCTTACGAGTGTCTGCTACTCTTAAGGCCATGTTTCGCTGCCGTAAAGTAAAACAGAACGGACTGCCGCGCAGTATACTCGTCCTTTTATTGACAGACGGAGGTTGAGATCAAAAGATTTCCAAAACCTGCTACTTTAAACTTGCAACCTTATTAAAAAGAATAGCCTGTATCTACTGTAGGATCTTTACAAGAAAACTGAACTTTTTAAGAATATTTAAGTCGACTGCACTATAGGTCATGACTTCCATTTGGATTCCTTGGTGCGAAAATGGAACGTGAGGATTTCATTTAGATAATTAACATTTCATAATATGGCCAGATAAGACAATTATATTTGAATAGAGTATATGGACAAACACACTAAACATTTTTTTAGTAATTGTGGTAAGCTGAGATTGAAAATATCCTATTTAAGAAATAATCTGCTGGGATCATCAAGTGAACAACAAGGTGCTAAATAAATCGATTGATGGGATAGTAAATCTTTATCAACTGAGGTAGTTGGGATATGTATTTTGTACGCTCACCCACAGCCTAAATCGATGCACAATAATGGCTGACTTAGGGGTATTTATTTCAGTACTTAAGCAGAAAATCTGGTACATGAAAGAATGAGTTATACAAAGTGTAAATAACATTGTGAGACAAAGTGGTTGCATTTGAAGAGAATAAAGAAAGTAATTAACAAGAACAGTGGAATGAGATGGACAGTAAACAATAAGGAAGAAACATCTGAGAATTCTGAGTTAAGGAAGTTCCTCTCATCTTTACAGCAAATGTTTCAAGACATCAAAATGCACCATTTCTAGGACCCCACCACGGGACTTGTGATGGACCAACATATGCTAGTTCTTACAACTCTCTTTCATAACACGGTGCCAATACATAAAATGATTACCTCTCCGCCTCCTAAAACTAATCCTAACGTCAGCAAATAAAGTACGATGTCAAACTAAGTGAAGATATTCGTAAAACATATCCAAGCCAGTAGTTCAGGATGGTGACACTGATTAGACTTCAGTCACTGTACTCGAATACAAATTACTTGAGTTCAGCATTACTGAGATGGTGTTTCCATCAAATGCCAGCAATCTTTCAGAGGCCACGATAATCGGAAATAATGCCGCCTAACACCTTCAACTAGAATAGGCCATGTTTCACAAGCATGAGAAAAAACTGTTCTCATTGACGCGTTGTAAAATCGACCTTCCAAAGACAGGCTAAAAACAACGTAATTAAAAATGGTCCTGATTGGATTTAGCACAGATTAATCTCATCAGTTACACCACCAGCAAATATTCAGGAACTCAGACACATGGAATTTTCTACTACTTCTAACGCCTTACTAGGAAGAGTGAATACAGCCAAAGGTTCGCATCATTCTTGTAAAAGTAAATGCAATGGCTACGACATTCATTGTTAACTGGTTAAGTGCAATTTGCATGGCTTGAGTATAATCGTACTATGGAACAATATCACCCGTATACTAACGTTTGAAAAATCTTTCTCTAGACAACAGATCCACACCACCAGTACCTACTTCCATCTGAGCTTCTTCTGAAATGTCATCAGTGGCAAAGTTGGAAAGGAATGGTAAGACTGTGATCCTGCCTAAGCCTACAGCTGGAATGAAACAGCGGAGAGCATGCAGTTTGCCCATAATTTACCTGGGGTGTGTTTATACAAAGCAGATTGGAAAACACTAGGGGAAGCTAAACTAAAGGGTGACCAGTCCATGACTGTTGGATAGAGCTGCATATGTAAGTGCAAACTACCTAGTTTAAGACCACGTAATTATTCTAAACAGCGGGTGTCATGGCTCAGAATCGTTGGCAATCGGTCAAATACCCTTTGCAATTCATTAGGATAGGTGGTTTTTTATAATGACCCTTAGAAACATTTTTTTCAGCCCACGAACCCATATTGCACCGAATTTTTTCTACTGCCACTAAGTTACCATTATACTACTTTGGCAATTCCTTGCACCAAAGTAGTGTGGTAAATTGGACGAGTTTGTCAGGTTTTACGTTGTGCATGGTTGAAAACACCCTACTAGCACTTAATGATCATCACATACCTTTAGTTTGAGGATTATATTTGTTTATGTTTGTATACAAAAGTTCTCAGTTCAATGACTACTTTTCATGGTTAATCCATTAAGTTAACAATGAAAAACAAATATCACCCTTTGGCAGTCTCAAAGGGATCATTTCAGCAAAACATGGTTTTGATGATCTGTTCCAAATAATGTGTGACCACAGAAAAGAAGCAACAAGTCGGGAGAAATCCAAACAGGTTTAGTCGTGAGTATAGCGACAAAACACATGGAGTTCTATTTTAGCATGTAGACATCCACGGAATACAATCTACAGATGTACTCTCTGACATGAAGGTGGTGTGGCAACTCGAACTGATGTACGTACGTACGAAGTTCTACGTTGTTACTGACTGACTGACTGACATGAAGGTGGGAATTTGGTCTCATCCACAAATGAGATAGTTGTTAAAGTACTCAGCTATCAAATACTGACCTACAACTTCGAACTCTACTCATCTACTTTGATTACTGGAAGAGACAGAATAAATCAATTAACCTACTAAAGATCGATTTTTCGAAAACCTTTGGTCGAGTCTCAGCTTACGGCTAAATGATAAATTGGTAAGACAGGCTTACCATAATGAGAATGAAATATAATCATGCCTCTCCTCTACAAATGTAAAGAAACTATTAAAAACTGATTCGCCCATACGCAATCGGTTTGGGCACCCGGGCAGTATCACAGCCCTCACACATATCAAATGAGATGTGTGGCGCATATGTATTTGGTGCCTGCTTGTACCGATATCTGTGTTAAAATAAATAAATAAATAAAATGTCTAAATGGGAATAGTTAAGCAGATAGACCACTTTACTAGCCAACGCATTCTTACTACTATATGAGGACATTTCCACAATCACAGTTTAGGAAGTTAACAATGCTTTTCACGAAGATTGTTTTTGCAAATACCACCAAGCTAATACATATGTTTAATTGGTAACGATATATTACAAGAGTACTTACAAGATGAAAAGTTTTCGTATATATTATCACCTTGTGCTTCATAAATACACTGCACTACTGGATTATAATTTAAATTTATATGACTAGAAAAGGATATGTTATGACCATATGAATCATTATTTTGGCTTGACTGTGCGCCCATACATAGAACTTGCAGGAACTATGTAGAAATTAACAATGTTGACTTAGTATTAAACAAGCATACCAGCGTGGACAAATTACGCCTGGAACCAAAATAAATCTTTTACCACTAGGTACGTCTAGTATGTAACTGAGTAAGTATGCAACTGAGTTGAGTCACATGGGCCAGGAGAAAGTCCGTAATGTAAATATCTTGTGGTAAATTTTACGCGGTAAAGTAGTCCGAAAACTGCAACAACATGACATTTAAATTCGGAAACCACTAAAAAACTAACTAGCTTTAGTGACAAAAACTTTTGAGATTGTCGGTTAAAGATTTAACAACCTTTAAGGAAAAATAGTGAAACTACAGTATTTACGAAACAACTAAATTGAAGATAGTAGATTTTGGGTTTCGATGCGAAATCCATCCCTCCACTTGACTAAATAGCATTTTGGCATCACAGGTGATATCATTTCGTGATGTTAACACCAAATCTAACTCCGGTAAGATTATAATTTACGGACGACCTTTGGGGGACGCCAAACTGACTTTGAAAATGTCCAGCTGGTAACCACGGCTAAATATGAAGATTAAAAAAACTGTGAGGAATTAAAATTGCAATTTAGTAACTAGAGTTAGGGGTTTCATCACAAACTGACGTCAGCTAAGATGCCAAAACGTTATTTAGCCAAATGGACAAGTTCATTTCGCACAAAAACCCAGGACCTGTTATCTTGATTGATTGGCCCATAATTTGTAGCTTCACCCTAACTCCCAGAGTTAACACCAACCGTAAATCCCAATTCCAAATATTAATTTACAAACCTGGTAAGTAGGTAGGCAATTTAGAGATCGTTTAACGGTTGTTTAAAGACCGTCCGCATATAATGGTCTTGCTAACATGCCTCAAGTATGTGACAGATATTTAAAAACTATAGACAAGGCGATTCAAGTCTTTCTATAGACTTCGATAAAGCTGACTACCAAACAATATTTATACAATTCAAAAAGCATATTTAGAAAGTATTTTAAATGTAAGTTGATTAATTTCTAAGTAGCGTTTCCTAGTCTTTTAGCATCACTTGAACTGTTTTACTTTGAATTTGCGATATCGCCTGTGAACTCTAACCATGCATGCTCTAGTGCTACAGCCATAACTTTATCCTTGTTTTGAACTATGTAAAATCAAACAAACACGTCACACTAAACAAAAGTGACTATAATAATTGAAGCCAATAGTATTCCAAAAGATTGATAACCTTACCGCAGTCCGTTGAATAATTGTTTAGACTTCTCCAATAAATGGCAAAATTCCGAAACAATGATTTGATCCCCTTGCTCTACATTTTTGTCTGAAGCCATAGATGTAACTCCAACGGGATCAAGCAACGCGCGCGCGCAAACCATTTGATTTGTATTAAGGCCACTTGATTGTTGGTATATAAACAAATTTACTGTGGATGTGTGATTGACTTTTAAAAGTATGCTCACAATTCACACAAAATAATGAAATCATTCTGTTCTACGAAAACGTTCATTGTTGATGTTTCATTCATTTCTAGTTATCTAAGTTTTAGTAACACTACTAAAACCAAATTCATTGAATCCGTTTCTGATCGGTTCATTTGAGTTTAACTTCGACTGAACGGGTAAAATACTCTATATGAACACTTAAATATTTCAGATTGCAATCTGTACGACAATGTATGCACATCCCTTCACTAAAATGGGGACATTTTTCTAATCAATCTATTGTGATTTTAAGTTACCACTCAAATATCAAACCTTGTGGCAAAAAACGAGGAGGGCACTTGTTGAAAATCGACAGATATGTCCTGACCATTAGTCAGATAGCTCTTACCATCTTCACTGCTTGTATCAAAGCGGAAAGAGTCTAAATGAAATAAATATCTTTATGGATTTTAGACACCTTTCTAGTTTTAAGGGACTCCACTTGCTGAAAGAGCCTGATTCGACATCAGTTAAGCTTCTCGAAATAGCTTAGGTAACGTTTTTTTATCCTTTCAGCTAGTCCAACAAACATTGACAACTGTCTACGATTAAATACATCGCTTCCAAAGATCATTAACATCCACCTTGTCTGTCTTCAGGATATTGAACTGTATTCTGATACCAATATTTTCTGATGCTCTGATATTCAAAACGTTTTTAGAGTTATCATTGTCATTAGTGCAGTATTTGTTGACAGTCTACCTCAAGAAGCCGAACAGCGAACAGTCTGGAAGCAATATCACAGTAAGCCTTTGAAGTCCAAACAATATTCGCATTACTGCACAATTTATGTACATTTTCTGTGCTGACTTCAGGGTTACTGAAGATCCCAGGCCTAGATAGAGGAAAGGATCGGGTATGGGGTCACCAATCACATCATGTGTAAAATAACCTTGCTAAAAACGCCAACCAGAAAAAATATTTTAGGCTGTTTGAACTCTGACCTGGAAGTTGCAGGTTCTTCATTTAGAAGTTATGACGTCTCGTAGTGAAATCCAAAATTTTTTCAGAAGTCACGAGGCCGATGCCACTTCTAACAACCGGATCAACAATTTTCATAGGTACATAGGACGTCCAGGTAATGAAGTAGACAGGGAGGACCATCAAATAGCAGCGGAATTGATGAGATACAACTTGGTAGTTCTCGAGTCAGCGAAACCCATTGGACCCAAGCTGGGCAGCAAACGTTAGTTACGGGAAAGACGCTGCTGCACACGGGTCACGAAGAGAACGCTCCATACATTCAGGGAGTTGCTCGGATGCTTTCCAAAGAAGCACGCAAAGAACTTATGGAACGGGAATCTTATGAACCCAGGAACATCAAAAGATCGTTCAAAATAAAATAGAAGAGGGGATCAAAATTAGTGTTATCCGGTGTTATGTACCGACGAAGATCAGTTCAACTCGCGTCTGCAGTCGATTATAGCGAAAAGTCCAGGGAAGGACCTGACCATCCTGATGGGAAAATTGTAGAGGCATGGGAGCCTAACCACACGAGCTTTGGAGCTGAGCATATAATTACTGGAAATATTTGTGTTCAATAATTGAAGCGAAGAGAAGGTTAACTATAGGACGGCATTGCTCAAACTTGCAGATGTGGTCATTTTGTATAACTTGTCTTTAATCATATTGAGTGTTATATTATCTTCAGCCAAAATATGTCCTTTAGAAACTTCATATAGTATATTACTGATTGTTACGATGCGACGAGTCACAATAGAAAATAGTGTGGCATCCACGTAAGATCTCATAGATTAAGTAGTTACATCATGACATTTTTATAATTTTAGGATTTGGTCCATTATTAGAACAGTGGTAATAACCGGGTAGACTACAATCCCAAAAACTAAACAAAATTCAAGGAGGACAACAACAGGTATGCGGAAGTCCTGGGGCAACATTGACTTGGAGAAAACAACAAAAATGACCATAGGCCTTTAAACTTATAGTTTTTCAACGACTTGGTTGTGGTTGATATGACAAACCCACAGACGTATGCACAAAGTTATGTGCGTTTCACCGTACCACACATCAGGAAACCAGATCGATGTCATCAGCATCAATGAAATGTTCGGAAGGTCCATGGAAGACGCAAGAAATACGAGAGTAGCTTAGATAGCTTCGTATCACCACTTATTGGCGACGAAGATGCAGTATGAAACTTATGTCCCATTTACACATTTGAAATGAACTACATTCGGTGCATTCTGGTAATAACAGTTTATCAATCTATCTATTGTTGTTTATATCCACACATTTTGTTTCTCTTTTTATTCATTTGACATATTATCATGAGGAAGTTTATAGCATCAGAACTGCTGTCGTTTCTGGAATATCTCTGAGGTTTGAAATCACTGATTCTTTTCCGTTTTACTTAGGATTTCAAATTCTGGAGACTACCGTATTGGGAGACCATTAATTTAATTGATTACGTTTGATATAACCGACTTCCGTGGTGTACATATTTCTTCCCCTAATAGTTAGTAAAGTTTAGACTTTTGAAAATCTTACAGCTCAGCGCAGAGCTATTTAATTCTTGATATTTCTGCCTTCTGTGGCAAACTGAAAGTTGAAGGAACACAGTTATTTTTCACAGACAAAACTACAAAGATCGATTGGATTCAGTATTACTTCACACAGCGATTCGTATTGTAGTGTCAGTTATTGTGCCAAGCCCATATACCTTATTCTAGCTGTCGGACATCCCATTTTATTCATTCTACTCGAGGCATATTTTGACCTTGTCAATTATTCGCTTGTCAGTCTTGACTGTTTTTATATGGGCGTATATGTGTGCGCCCTTCTTATTCCATTAATCACATGTCTGTAGCTTTATTTTGTCTGACTATAAATATTGAGTAACGCTTGACTAAAATGGAGTTGGCTTCCCAGCCATCTTCCATACGTGTCATTTTGCTTTACTATGTTTCATTCGCTTCATGTACGAAATATATGTATTCTCAAGTCAATTCTCGTTATTCGACTTATTTAATTCCGTTATTGGATAACGCGATTTAAGTCGACGATTATATACGAGAATAGGCGATGACAAACATCCATACGATCTTGGAGTCAGATAAACGGGCTACTAAAATATTTAACCTAAAACCATTTTGAGTAGGCCGGGTAGATTTCAAGCTGATAATTAAATTTATACTAGTACATCGATCGATCGACCCTTCAGATCCATCAGTGAATTCCACGAAAGTGTGTCATTAAAGTTCAAAGAACCTCGCAAGATTAGTTCACGATTGGTGCCCAACTTGCCTTATCTCGTTACGATAATCAAATAAATCAACTTCCTTGGTGACTGGCAACAATAAACAGAATTCCGCTGAAACTAATAGCACGTGTCAGTAAGGACAGATAATTGGGGTATGGACTAAAGACACTGCCGCATGAGATAGTCAGGATAAGTGAAACATCCGTGAATTTGTAACGCTTTCACTGCTCAACACTCAGTGTGTGTACAGTATCTAGTGACTCTGAAATGTTTTTTCAGAAATTCCAGCCACTCTTAGCGGCCTAGATATGGTTACAAATCAGCGAGAAACTGTGTCAAGGAGTTGTAAGCTATTATTAAGAATTAGAACCGTGGTTTTCATCACAAAGTGACGTCAGCTATAATGACGAACTGTAATTTAGACGTGATAGTATGTAACATGTCACATAGACACGGTGTGTCGTATGGTATAGTTTTCTATTGGCTAGATACGTCTAAAGAACCAATAAAATTTTACTGAGCGCTAGCCGAATCGACCATCAGGCAGATCAATGAGTGATGAACCAAACATCAGGTCTCATCGAAGTTAAGGACAACCAATACAGATTAACCAGTTGCGTGCCATGGACTAACCCGCCCAGCAATGATCGCATTGTGTTGCTCCGACCTACTTTTACTACAATATTTCCTCGATAACATCAGGTTTATTCTACCTGGTCATCAAAGCAGTAACAGCACCTGAATATCGAGAAAGAGTAATCATCATTAACTAGAAGTCAGATGTGACTTTGACACAAATTATGGGGTTGTAGAATTACGGTCTACTTCGATATTAGTACTACTCTAATAATAGACTTAATTCTAAAATTGTCGATTTGTCATGACGTAACTGCCTAATCTATAAGAACTTACGTGTAAGTAACATCATTGTCTACACCAGCTCATCGCATCATAACAATCACCATTATATGAGGGAGAACAAACGTAGGCCAGAGAAAAACAATATACTTAATGTGAATAAAAGATATAAGACAATACTTAAAAGTGACCACTCCTGCAATCCGAACCATGCCGTCCGATCAACTCGAATTAACCCAATTCATTCTTCCCTCCATCTCCACCGTTGTTTTGCTCCGCGTTAAATGTTGAATATCAATTTTCCCAGTTACCTCGTGTTCAGCTTTGAGGATTTTGTGGTTAGGGCCAAATGCACCACAAGGTCACACCATTCCCATTCCAACTCGGGCAGACTGTGACCATCTAAAAAAGCACCTTTATTAATAATCTACAAGACATTTCAGGAAATCTTTTTAATGTGCTTTACAAATCACCCTTCAAATTTGATCCATTAACAAGATCTAAGCGTCAAATCCTCGGCTGCGCTTAATCAAATGTCTAAAGTCAATTTATGGTATGATAACAGTCAATAGTAGACTTGAAACTTTTCTCTACATCCATTCATAGGTAAGTTTGCAATACTCAAGATGTTTAAAAAAAGTTACCTATATATTTTTTAGATAATTATATGGTGCATAAATATTAGACCAAGTTCTTCAACAATACAAACATCCATAATAGTTTTGGGTGCTAACAAAAGTAACGAAAATCCTTCTGTAAGTGTACGGATCTGGATGGACTCCAAGATGAGTTACGAAAATTTGTTATATACTTCCACTATAGTTTGGCTATATGAACGGATAAA